TTTCAAAATAATTATAGTTTTCTACTTTATATATTACATAAATATTTAAACTGAAATGTTCCATTTTCTCATTCCTGATTCTGAGGGTGCCACTCACAAATTACAATTTGTTTTATCTTCCAGGCAACACATATTCGCTTGATGACAGTATAGGTACGTGCATCAATACTTAGGTATGCTACAACATTCTTATTGTGTTGATCCTCTAGATCAAAGTTATCTTGTATATATGTATGTGATATGAATTCATATCACACAGCAGTATACATTGATTGTCCTCCGTATAGCTATTGTAGTATTTGCCCACTCCATCATGTCCATTGATCCTCCTGCACTGCAATGTATAGTTACCAATCAATGCCTTGGAAAGTAGATTAAATGTCAGTAGATGATGAATTTACTGAATAATATGGAAGCATTAAGGGCCATTTGCTTTTTTATTTTATTTCTTAATATTTCAAGATCCTAAGTTGAAATTTCAAGATATTAAGTTGAAATTTTAAGGTTATAACTTGAAATTTCTGAATATATATCTTGAAATTTCAGTTTGGTCTTTTGAAATTTCAAGAAAAAAAACAAAAAAACAAATGGCCCTGAACGGCTTCCGTACTAAAAATCTTCCGTAGAATAATGCCATGAAAATAATGTTCTGAAAAATATACTGCTGTCAGTTGTAAATTTTAACTGGCGTAGTTCAGTATGACACAATGGAAAGCAATACGTACCAGTTTGAAGTAATTCCTGAAGACTATCCAGATCTCCGAAGGTGTCATGAAGGTAATGGCATCACACAATACAAAAACTATGCAGACTTACATCCAACGGTGTCAGGCGTTTGGAAGACACACCCGCCATTACCGAGTTCCATATACTACTTTCGTATTCAGTGTCTACATTAAATGCTTGTTTTTCACGTTTGCCATTCAGTGGTATTATCTTTTCATCAACATTTTCAACACTGAAACTTTATTTTACCATTAATGCACAAAATCGATATCGCAACATTATGCATTCGTTTTACGGTTCATGTTTTGTATTGAGAATCGATGCTTCACACAATAAATAGCCCCAGACGCTTTTGATATATTGCAGGTTTTGACAATGCTATTATGCTATTGTAGCAGGGCGTGGAGTCATCCCACAGATGACATCCTTACCTTGTCAGCTTGCTGACGGGGTTAACCTCTTTGGTCATGTGGACAAGGCGTCCGACCTCTGATCAGAAGGTCCGTGGTTCGAATCCCATCACGGGACTCGGAAATTTTATGGCCGCTACACTATGATGTGAGCGTCTGTTGTTGCTTGTGTTTCTAAGTCGTAGATCAAAGCATGAAGCAATACGGAGCCCTCAAAATGTATAACTAGAGTATTCTACCCTCTCTATTCTATGGGGAAGATGTACATAAATTACTTTCATAATCTCTGACATGTATGGGTGCTGATTTGAAAACGCGATTTATGTTTTTCCGATGATTTCTTTCAAAAGGCATTATAATAGGTACAAGTTGATGCTAGTAGTGCGAAGGCTTCATTGCTTAAGAAATTAAAATGAGTTTCGGAAATATAACACTTTGAAGAAACCGATTTTGAGAACATGTTGCATTAAGCGATATATTATGTACGCTTCAAGGGACATTGTCTCGGGGACAGGGATCCGTATAGTAAAGATCCAGGGTAGAATAGGTCTTCAGCAACCCATGCTTGCCGTAAAAGGTGACTATGCTTGTCGTAAAAGGCGACTAACGGGATCGGGTGGTGAGGCTCGCTGACTTAGTTGATGCATGCCATCGATCCCAATTGCGTGGATCGATGCTCATGAAATCAATCACTGGATTGTCTGGTCCAGAGTCGATTTTTTTTACAGACCGCCGTCATATTCCTGGAATATTGCTGGGTGCGGCGTTAAACAACAAACCAACCAACCAACTCGGGGACAGGCAGCAAAAAACAATATTCAGTCTGTGTCTTGAAATAGAATATCTTCCAATGGAGATTCCATTCAGTATACATACCAGAGGTAACACTATTTCAAATCGGTACGAGAAACCAAAGAATAAAACAGTATCAGTTGACAGAACCGCGCCCTTAAAAAAGAGGAACATTACCCATTTCGATACTTTCGCAAGCGAATGTTACACGTTCGTTATAAGCGGTCGTTGATCCCGAGACACGCTGTATGTGCAGCAGGCGTGGAGATGACATCTTTACCTTGTCAGCTTGCTGACGGGGTTAACCTTGGTCATGTGGACATGACGTCCGACCTCTCATCAGAAGGTCCGTGGTTCGAATCCCATCACGGGACTTGGGAATTTTATGGCCGCTACCTATGCACAAGATTAATTTCAGCTATCTTAATGAGTCGCACGTAAATTCTTCGCTCCCCTGCGTTTAATGATTGCAGGAATTCTGCCGCCAGAGAATGAGTCAACACGCTCCGGTGGCAGTGGCCAGTCTGGGTCTTAACTAAATAATTTGTGTCCCACTCATATTTTATAAACCTCCAAAAACGTGTCCCGTCTCTAGCCAGGATTAAAGTTCTCCAATACATGTTATGTCTCTAGCCAGGATGTAAATTCTACAATACATGTTATGTCTCTAGCCTGGATGTAAACTCCCCAATAAGTGTCTCGTCTCTAGCCAGGATGTAAATTCTCCAATACATGTTATGTCTCTAGCCTGGATGTAAACTCCCCAATAAGTGTCCCGTCTCTAGCCTGGATGTAAACTCCCCAATAAGTGTCTCGTCTCTAGCCTGGATGTAAATTCTACAATACATGTCATGTCTCTAGCCTGGATGTAAACTCCCCAATAAGTGTCTCGTCTCTAGCCAGGGTGTAAATTCTCCAATACATGTTATGTCTCTAGCCTGGATGTAAACTCCCCAATAAGTGTCCCGTCTCTAGCCAGGATGTAAATTCTACAATACATGTCATGTCTCTAGCCTGAAGGTAAACTCTCCTATAAGTGTCCCGTCTCTAGCCAGGATGTAAATTCCACAATACATGTCATGTCTCTAGCCTCAAGGTAAACTCTCCAATAAGTGTCCCGTCTCTAGCTAGGATGTAAACTTCCCAATATATGTCCTGTATCTAGCCAGGATGTAAACCTCCCAATATATGTCCTGTATCTAGCCAGGATGTAAACCTCCCAATATATGTCCTGTATCTAGCCAGGATGTAAACCTCCCAATATATGTCCTGTATCTAGCCAGGATGTAAACCTCCCAATATATGTCCTGTATCTAGCCAGGATGTTAACTTCCCAATATATGTCCTGTATCTGGCCAGGATGTAAACTTCCCAATATATGTCCTGTATCTGGCCAGGATGTAAACTTCCCAATATATGTCCTGTATCTGGCCAGGATGTAAACTTCCCAATATATGTCCTGTATCTGGCCAGGATGTAAACTTCCCAATATATGTCCTGTATCTGGCCAGGATGTAAACTTCCCAATATATGTCCTGTATCTGGCCAGGATGTAAACTTCCCAATATATGTCCTGTATCTGGCCAGGATGTAAACTTCCCAATATATGTCCTGTATCTGGCCAGGATGTAAACTTCCCAATATATGTCCTGTATCTGGCCAGGATGTAAACTTCCCAATATATGTCCTGTATCTGGCCAGGATGTAAACTTCCCAATATATGTCCTGTATCTGGCCAGGATGTAAACTTCCCAATATATGTCCTGTATCTGGCCAGGATGTAAACTTCCCAATATATGTCCTGTATCTGGCCAGGATGGCTCCCCAGTGAATGTTCAAACAGATTTTGTTGATGAGCAAGCAACATTAATACTTAGAAGACAACATTTGATCTCATTCAGTAAATTATACTACTCAAATGAAGATAAGTACCACCCAGTCCTTTCATATTACTATAGCTTACCTGTCACGACTGGGGGCGGTCGGGTAGCCTAGTGGTTAAAGCGTTCGCTCGTCACGCCGAAGACCCGGGTTCGATTCCCGACATGGGTACAATGTGTGAAGCCCATTTCTGGTGTCCCCCGCCGTGATATTGCTGGAATATTTCTAAAAGCGACGTAAAACCATACTCACTCACTCACCTGTCATGACTGAAGCGGGTGGTCCTTAACTTCTTATGAGTTGTATATATACCGTCGTGCACGCACGTGTGTGTGTTTTATAGTGCATGTCAGTTTGCTAGCCCACTGTGATACCATACCGCAGGTTAACACGGATACCCCGTCCAGACACAACACACACAAATGCCCTCTTTAACGTAAATACGTTTGACGCGGCCAGGGGAGCGAACCACCGACCTTCCGCTCTCCCAGCAGAATCGCTGTCCACTACACCACAGAGGTGGTCAGAAAGAAACAGGGATGTCTGGGAACAATAGACTTGTGATATGCAGAAAGAGTTTTTTACGAACATGTTTAAAAAAACCACACAGCTAACCTTACAAGTTGTAGATCTAAACTGCGATATAAGCAATATAACACTTTACCAACTCCTGCTTTCCCGTTTCATTAACCCTTTCTGATCAAAATGTTAACCCCTCCAGACCTGAAGGAGTGAGTGAGTTGGGTTTAACGCCGCTTTTAACTGTATTCCAGTTATATCACGGCGTGTCAGCTTAATGTGGGAGGAAAACCCGAAGTGATGCAGGTCTCCGACGTTTACCACTTCGGTGAAACCCATGAGCACGGGTATGGTGCTGACAAACCTAGACACATTATCGGGGCGAACCGGGATTCGAACCAGCAATCATAGGTTTCTGGCGTGCCCAGGGGACGCAACTCTGCACAGCGAATCGCTGCGCCTTAGACGACTGGGCCACCTGTGCCCCCCAGACCTGAAGGAACATAGAAGACAAAACTGAAATTCTCTTGACCGAAACACTTAAGCACACAATTTCTGTCAATGAAAGTTATACCCGTTTTAAGAACAGACATCTGCAAAGCGAGTGAGATAAACTGACACCACAAGGGAAACGTGGCAATCCTATGAGTGTATACAACGGTCAGAGATAAGACCATAGCTCGCTCAGCCAGTGATCTGACTAAACATACAATATGGCCATCTTTGTGTGGGTTATAGTGACTCTCCTACTAGGACAAACTTTAGCACATTTAGACGGTAGGTAGGTGGTGTGTTGAAATGTATGTTGTTTGTACAAAGAACGTTGACGTCACGTTATATTTTGAGATAAGACACTCATATTTTCCAAAACGTTGCCTGATCATGTGACTGATAGGAACTGAAGGTCCAGTGTATCATGTAGTGTATGGTATTTAGTATATAAACATTCACAGTGAACACGTTTAGGTCTGCTAGCTCGGTATTAATAACAAAGGTGCGTATCATTTAGAACATGCGTTTTAAGTGTTGACCGTTGCCTGTAGATTTACCCGCGCTGAATTGAGTTTGGGTCCGCTTATATTAATACTAGGTCCCGCGGTGATCAAATCAGCTGTTTCAATCAGACTTTAAACCCCGTAATGACCAAAGAGATTCGGATATTTTCCAAGTTAGAATATTAGTGTTGTATGTGCAGAAATAGCTGGCAGGGATAGAAACTTTGTTTGTACACTTGCCCGTTTTTCTGCAGAAGCGCTCGCAAGATTGGACCTATCTAGAACTGTTGTTATCCAAGGTGAGATTATGATTTTATGATATGATAATCTATGCCACCGAGGGGAAAGCATATGACGTTTTTACCCCATCAACGGATCAGTGTGCGTTCCCATCGTAGTGTTTACGGGTAATAATTGACCCTATATCCTATTCTTGTCGTTTTGGCTGATTGGTTGTCATCATGCATTTAGAACTGGATAGCCTGGTCCAGACTCACTTTTTAACAAGACACCCTGATTTTAGTTGAATATTGCTTGCCGTGGCGTCAAACAACTTTCATTCCAATGGAATTTTTCAGCTGCCGGAAGTATACAACCTAAACTGCCTCTAAGGCGCCAGACGGTTTCGTATTACCATCTCATTCTGCCGGTTACCCAACCGCTGATTGGAGAACAGAGGCAGATTTCGAAACCGAATGCCTCAAGAAACACTATCCACTTTTACCATGCGCTTCATTGTGGAATATGACTGAAGCCCCACTCATTGTGGGATATGACTGAAGCCCCACTCATTGTGGGATATGACTGAAGCCTCACTCATTGTGGGATATGACTGAAGCCTCACTCATTGTGGGATATGACTGAAGCCCTACTCATTGTGAGATATGGCTGAAGCCCCACTCATTGTAGGATAAGACTGAAGCCCCACTCATTGTGGGATAAGACTGAAGCCCCACTCATTGTGGGATATGACTGAAGCCCAAGAAATTATCAAAGTGTGGTCATCCATCCTGAGACCCATCTTCCAAAAGCAAGGGAATTATCTGACTATAAATGTCCAGTTCCCAGCCTTGCCGAACAAGGCTGGAATTATGAAGTTATATTTTGGCTGGATTAACGAGTCTATGCATAGTCCAATTAAAATCGCGTAACGAAATCGACATCCGGTTCCTAAACTGCCGTGCAGATTTCTGACGATTGCACGATTTGCAAGGCATGTGTACTGACAACCTGGCGTCGACGTGATTTGATGCACTTCGCGAAGTAAGACCCGTTTTATTACAATATACATCTTGATTATCGGTCAGATCTTTACCTTGCGACGCCATTTGATTTGATGCAAATGCAAGTGATATGAGAGATTGAATCTGATTCTGAATCTCAATTGGAGGGACATAGAAGGGACATAACTCGTAATAACCACTGGTGGCGCTACGATAGAGCCCAGGAATTGCAGTCCAGTTCGGCAAGGGTGGAAACTGGACTTTTACAGTTGCCTCGGGAAGATGCCTAGGACCATATACCGGAATATGGTCTCTGCACCCATCCAACTACTCTCCGACACAATCGTTCCCTAACACCATCTCATCTGTGGCCTGTGCGCTATATTAACTCTATAATTACTGTACACGATAATAATAAGATTGTCATTATTATACTGACACACTGTTTTTGTTGCAGACCCAACAGCTGCAGTGAATAACACTATAACAGGTAACTACTTCTGAGACTGTTATAACATAATCAATGGAGACTTCGTTTTCGTTATGTTGCTTTCCAGATGTCACTATCTAACAGTGAATATCGCCTAGACAGTTTGAAACGATATGTTCATGTAGCAGAGATAACTGATGCACACATATGTAAATATAAGAGGTGGGCTATATTCCATGGTTTTTGATATGAATGAAAGTAAATATGAAAATCCGAGGTATATCTATTTCCTCGTCATTTCTGTGTTCCGAATGTAAAATATTTTTGGATTATGTGTACAGGGTTTCAAATTATATTTGTATTGTTGCATTTTCTTTCATTGTTAAAGGTAATGTGAGATATTATTAATATTTTGTTATGATTAATGGGAACTGCTCCAGTCTTCAGTTGGTTGGTTTGTTGTTTAGCGCCGCACTCAGCAAGATTATTTACAGACCGCCGTCACATAGCCTGGGCCAGACAAACCAGTGCTTGATAGCATGAGCATCGATCAACCCAATTGGGATCGATGACATGCATCAACTAAGCCAGCGAGACTGACTACCCGATCCCGTTAGTCGCCTTTTACGACAAGCACAGTCCCCTGTTACGGCAAGCATGGGTTGCTGAAGACCGATTCTACCCCGGATCTTCACGGGTCCTCCAACCTTCAGTGCCGGCTTGAGTGCTATATAGTTACAGACAGATTATTACGGTTTTGTTTCTGAAAACAGGCCTTCGTTTTCTGAACCAATTTAAGAATATACAATATAATACACAGCTCCAGGCAATGGTACGACCAAATAGGTTATGTCCCCACGAACACAAATGTTTGCCTGTTACATTTCTACAAATGAAGGATTTTATAAAAAAAATTCTTGTGCCACCACAATCCATAACCACATTGACGCAGTAGTAGTAGAGATGACATTAACACAAACATATAAGGAGTCACAGTTATCTCCATATACATAAATTGGAAGACATTTCATTGGCTAACCAAGCAATTACCTTTGCCAAAAGCAAATTAGGCCACGCCCAATAACGGGCTACTGTTTCCTGACTGGCTGATGATAGAATGGGTGGGGCTTGTGTGGCATTATTTCACTAAACGATGTCTGTAAAGTTAGTATTGTTGAAGTATTTATTGACAAGAATTGACTTTAATGTCTTTTTTTTGCGTTTATGAAGGTATACACGTAAAACTCCTTGAGCACACTTTGTGTAGATCCGCGTACTTACGCAAAGTCTGCACATCGGTTTTGACGTTTTTACCTCCATAATCAGTTATTATTAGTGAATTCTTGTAAATAAGTACGTTAATTTGTCATTTGCATCCCAGAATGCAGAACACGTCCGGCCGACATCGTGTTCCTCTTGGACTCCTCAAGCAGTGAAGGTCAAGACGGCTTCACGGCGCAGGTCAACTTTGTATACAACGTCACAAAAGCTTTCAACATCGGGCCCGAGGACGTTCAGGTGCATTGTCAAATCATACTTTCTTGTTAGAAGTTCAAAAGGAAAAACAATATTTTTGTGAAAATATATTAATATCTGTTATAGTCAGGGGAAGGCGTAACTGATATTCTGTCGTCAGAAAAAAGACAACAGTACGGGACTTGCTATGATATCATGTCGATGGTGCATAGTCACGCACAAATATATGTCCCTTGCGTAACCTGATTCGTGGATATAGTGAGTGAGTGAGTTTGATTTAACGCCGCTTTTAACAGTATTCCAGCTATATCACGGCGTGTCAGCTTAATGTGGGAGGAAAGCTCGAAGTGATGCAGGTCTCCGACGTTTACCACTTCGGTGAAACCCACGAGCACGGGTATGGTGCTGACAAACCTAGAAACATAATCGGGGTGAACCGGGATTCGAACCCACAATCATAGGTTTCTGGCGTGCCCAAGGGACGCAACTCTGCACAGCGAAACTCTGCGCCTTAGACGACTGACTGGGCCGCCCGTGCCCCCGATTCGTGGATATAAGGAAAGTTCACCCAAATTCGTGGTTTAAATGTCCGATGTTGTTTTGTATACTCACTGATCATTTAATTCATCTATTAAACTATAAGAAAACGAGGAAGATTCCACTCGTGCCTGAAAAGTTTGTTTACCGAAGCCATTTGCATTCATCAGCCATTCATGTAATGTACTGATGTACCGGTCACTTCAGCTTGGAGGTTTGGTGCTTAAATGACAATAGAGAAGTGAGTTAGGAAGGGCGAATCCACCTTATTTAAAAGGGAATGGTCCAAAATATCAGAACCCTCTCTCAGATAATTTTACTGCCTGTAACATACTACATTTGCTTTCCAAAAGTTGAGGTGTGGGGTTCCGGACCCCCTGTCCCTCCCCCTCTGGACCAGCCTAGGGTTAATGTGGTTTCACGTCGCTTTAAGCAAAAATGGCTTCAGCCAAAGAAACCATGTGAGGGATCGAACCCGGCCTTCGGTGTGACGCACCACATAGAACAACTCAAATACGGCTTCGAGAAAAGGAACGGCACGTTTTGTGACCCCGAAGCGATTTTAGTAGTATAGATTCGTCGAAAACACCATTGGGTAGATTTAGTTTAGTATACCTGATAGCCTCAAAAGCTACTACTCTCTGCCCACACAGTAGAATTTTAATATTACCTCTTCGTTGTGACCAGGTGAGTGTGGTGGTGTTTGCATCGAGTCCCTTCAATCAGTTCTTCCTGAACGAATTCACCAAAAAGGCGGATGTGCTTGCCGCCATCAGGAGTGTCAACTATCAGTGAGTACCCGGATCCTGCTCTCGTTCCGTTATTTACAATACAGACAAGGGCAGCAGCCAATAGTGGAAAACAAATGAGAGGATGTCCCTCAATACTCCCAGGTTGAATGGGATTTATAGTTTTCAACGTAATTTTCTTTATAATTTTCTCGCCACGCATTCATTTAGAAACCTTGATAAAAGCATGTTGGCGTGAATGTCCTTCACGTATAGAAAGTTATGTCTAGGGGATATTATAGATACGTTGAAAAGTCGTTCAACAGTTCCAAATGATTCTTCTGCTCTCAGGCCCGGGAACACACAGACGGATGACGGTCTCGCCTTCGTCCTGCACAACAGCTTCCTTCCAATACATGGGGGGCGGAATGCCTCTGAAAAGATCCTCATCGTCCTCACCGATGGCAAGTCAACCGACACGACCAGTACAGCCTCCGTAGCAAATCAGATCCATAATACCGACATCAAAGTTATTTCCATTGGGATCGGTAGCGGCATCGACAGGGCGGAACTGGCCACAATCGCCTCGGACGCTAAACGCATGTACCTTGTGGCCAACTTCAGCGTCCTGTCTGACATTGTAGACGAAGTTGCTAAGAAGACGTGTACTAGTATGTATTTGTGTATTTATTAGCGAGATGAGGCTTGGAGGTATATAATCATATCCTTCATTAGACATGAGCATTTACTTTATATATACTTCATTGAACTAAACATGATATAATTTTACAAAAGTGATCCACTTACGGTGTTACGTACTTTCCAGTCAAACATGTTAAGATAAAGAGTACTATAATTAGACATCATTTGAAAAAGAAATTCCTCCTTCTATTTTGAAAGTATATTATTATAATTTTGTTATCGACTCATTTACCAGGAAAAAAGACTTTTGAAAAAAGTTGAAATTGTTATTGGTAATAAGCATCGGTTTGAGTAGAACACATCTTTCGTGTTTATTTTTTATTGTTTACTTTTAGCACAGGTTCATAATGAGTGAGTAGAGTGAGTTGAGTTGGACGCCGATTTGAACAGTTTTTCAGTTACACCACGGCATGTCACCTTGAGTGATGTGGTTCTTGATGATTACCGCTTTGGTGAAACCCACGAGCACGGATACCAGGTCGAATGTGGCATTCGAACCCCCAAAACAGGTATCTGGCTCGCGTAAGGGACGCAACTCTGCGCGGCGAAATGCTGCGCCCGTGCCCCGTAAAGGCTTAACAGTATATCAAGAAAATATACTTGACGGTTTGTTCGGTCACTGCTGTGGTATTTCTGTGCGGTGTCAGGCAAACAAACAAACATTTACTGTTTATGCAAATTGTGTGAGTGATGAGAAGTACTGGTGGAGCGGGACAAGCTTACCCTTGTCGCGAACACCCGGTGCCATATCACCGAATTTCAGTGAACCATTCATGTTATGTTAACCTTTTTTTCACTTTTACGCCCAGTGGAATCCGTTTCGGCAGATAATCGAGACAGAATATTCTTTGGTGTTGACGTTATATATCTACCTGCATTATTTGATGGTTTCAGGCACTGAATTAGGTAAGTACCTTTGTTAAACCTTTAAAAGCCTTTCCATCAACGTAACATGGCAACATTTAACCAAACCAGAGAAGTATTTCTTTTACTGGAAACGTAACGGTGATAAAATAATAACTTTAAGAATAAATAAAAAGTATAATAAAGAATGATAAAATCCTACACTATTGCTAGTGCATCTACTACTACTACTGCTAGTACGTCTACTACTTCTACTACTGCTACTTCTATTGATAGTGCATCTACTACTACTTCTACTACTGCTAGGACGTCTACTACTTCTATTGATAGTGCATCTACTACTACTTCTACTACTGCTACTTCTATTGATAGTGCATCTACTACTACTTCTACTACTGCTAGTACGTCTACTACTTCTATTGATAGTGCATCTACTACTACTTCAACTACTGCTAGTACGTCTACTACTTCTATTGATAGTGCATCTACTACTACTCCAACAACTGCTACTTCTACTGACAGTGCGTCTATTGCTACTCCTATTACTATATTTACTGCAAGTAGATCTACAACTACTTCTACTAATGCTAATACGTCTACTACTTCTATTGCTCGTGCATCTACTACTACTCCAACAACTGCTACTTCGATTGTTAGTATATCTACTACAGTTACTACTTCTACTGCTAATATATCTTACTTCTACTCCCGGTACTTCTACTTTTACAACTACTGCTATATCCACAACACGGTTGTTTGATGCATGTCATCGTACCCAAATTGCGTAGATCAATACTCATGATGCCAATCACTGGATTGTCTGGTCCAGACTCGATTATTTACAAACCGCCGTCATACACCTCGTATATTGCTAAGTGCGGCGTTAAACAACAAACAAACAAAAACAACAACTAGGACTCCTTCTAGAGCCGCCCGGAGAGCGGAAGGTCCTGGGTTCGATCCCCGACCGCGTCATACCAAAAGACGTTAAAAGATGGTACTTGTTGTTACCCTGTCTGGCGCTAAGCATTAAGGGGCTAAAGCAAGAACTTGTCGGCTCGGAGTCAGTATACTGTGTCTGAGTGGGGTATTCATGTTAAACTGCGGCATGGTATCTCAGTGAGCTAGCACTATAACTCGGCATCAGTCCGGACTAGTGCAAGCAGCCACACAACACACACACACGTACATGCACGTCGCTATATAAGTGCAATAATCTTGGACGCGACGTTAAACCCCATTTCACCTCACCTTCACCTCACCTTCTACATCCACACTCACGCTTACCTATATTGACTTCAGTCTGCAGGTCGACCCCTGCCGACATACTATTCCTGTTGGACACGTCCAGCAGCGAGGGCACACCCAGCTTCAACATTCAGCTGGAGTTTGTCAAGAACTTCACCAAGGACTTCGAAATCGGCGCGGATAAAGTCCAGATTGCTGTCGCCACATTCTCAGACACCACCCAGTCGGAATTCTGGTACAACGACCACGACAATAGCTCCAGCCTCATCGCTGCCATCGGCCGCATCATGTACCGCTCTGGAAACACGCATACAGAGGACGCACTTAGGTAGGTGACGTGGTCAAGTAAAACTGAAACGGGACGTAAAACCTAAAACTTGTATATATATAATCCACCGGACCACTCCTGAATTACTAGTTTTCTAAGAAGAATCATCCCGAAAATACCCATAATTGACCGATGACATCTGACAAGAGAGAGTGTGTATTATCAATAATATGCCCCCGTGAAGACCCATGTTAGAATTGGTCTTCAGCAACTTATGCTTTCGGAAGAGGGGACTAAGGGGATCGGGTGGTTAGGCTCGCTGCATTGGTTGATGCATGTCATCGTATCCCAATTGCGTGGATGCTCATGATGTCAATTAATGTCAATGTAGTCCAGACTCGATTATTTACATACATATCTCTGGAATAGATGGGCGTTAAACAAAAAACAAACAAATGGTGAGTGACATATAGAACTCATCCTTAAGTTAAAGGGGTAAAAGAGAAGTTTGATTCAGTTCCCTTTGTCTGCTACCTCAAGACTGATTAGGTATATCAATCTAGCAGTAAACGAAATTAAACACAAAATGTATTTACACGCGATTGAACCATGACTGGAAACGCATTCCAGATTATTGAGCGGAGCCCCACTTTAAGAGTCGTTAAGCCTGTGTCGGGGTTACCTAGAACGTCCCCACGTCGAGAGTGTTTGAATTAGGCTGGTGACGGGTGAACTTCAACTGGGAGACGTGTCAACGTTATTTTATTTTGTAAAATTTAATGTACAAAAATACTTTTTTCGCAGATAGGTGACTGTTTATAGTCTATTGATAACCTTCACAATACAGATAGAAATAGTTGAACTACTTCGTAAATTGTTAAACCTATACCATATCACGGGTGTACTTTCAAGAGACCCTATGGTACATTGCATTTAGATTTGCACGAACTGAGGGCTTCACCGCTAAGCACGGCGCCAGGAACGACTCCAACCACATCATCATCATCTTATCCGACGGCCAGTCCATAGACAAGAGTCAGACCAAGAATGAGGCGGACGGCATCCACAGCGCCGGCATTCAAGTCATCGCCATCGGCATTGGCGTCAGCATCGACCAACAGGAGTTGAGGGACATCGCTTCCGGTTCCGGCGATCAGAACGCCTTCTCCGTGGCCAACTTTCAGGCTCTGCGCACCATCGAACTGCCGATCCAGAAACAAACATGTGAAGGTGCGACAAGTGGACAGGGTGTCCGACATACGCATTTCGAAACCTTTGTTTCTGTTTTCCGAGGTTTATGACATTCGTATGAAAACCTCTGATGATCTTTACTGCCTTGCTCAAGTTTGCTCAATGACCTGATAAAGTCACAGTTGATGGGTGTTTTTACCAATTTTTATTATAACCTGTACCTAAGCTGAAATAGTTCCTCACGTGAAGGATAAAACACATCCGAATGTATTTAGTAAGATAATTATCACATGCATCCGAGGGATGAAACAACGGGCGTTAGCACAGCGTTTTTTAAATCTCATAAGAACTCGTATAACATACAAACCGTTTTCTGCACTATAAAATGAATGAATGAATGAATGAATGGATGGATGTTGGATGAATGAATGGATGAATGAATGGATGGATGGATGGATGGATGGTCTCCCGAATACAATGCAGGAGATGGATGCGCTGTCGTGAGTTCTTTGTCTCCTATACGGAACTGGAATCGATCGGCGCCTTGCTTCTATTTGAATAGTTATTTTGTCAAAATAATTTATGACGACTAATATTTTACCACTTTTTGAGAGAGTTTTTAAGCATCGTAAGGTAACGTATTGTTATTTATGTGAAGATATATACGAATAAACCACCCAGTTCAGCTGCACCTTTTGTGTTTTTTCAGTTCAGGAAGGTACAGTATTAAGTCCACGGTTGTAAGTATACTGCTGTCTAAACTGTCGGAGCATTGGCAAAGTGATTTGACGTATGAGTTAGTGACTGTGTAAGATCTTACACCACTTTTAGCGGGTGGACACGAGACTCCAGCTTCATACATTGTACCAATGTAAGGAATCGAACGCGGATCTTCACAATGCATGAACCACTAGGTTAAACCACCGCCCCTTTTGATGATAGTCATAAGAGTCACGATGGGCGTATTTTGTGACAGTTGGCGTTAATATAAACGATCATTCTTATCTTTACATGCTTAGTTAAAGTAGTTGAGGTAGTGATTGGATTGAGGGCAATCTGAGACAGAGTTGCATTTCTTTGTGGTATGGGTTGACCATGGGGGCGGATCCAATAGTCGCCATGACTGCGATCCTTGGTTTTCACCTTCATGGGTTTCACCAAAGGCGAACGCCGTCACTTTGGGCCTTTTACTCTGAAACGACCTAATATTTCTATGGAAAGGTGTGCCAAGCTCACTGCCGACTTGTCTCCACCCTGCGGGATTCCGGGTTAGACTTGTTCCCCTGCATCCTATGCTGGTCGCTGGTAAGGCAACCACATTGATCGGGAGGTCAGACCCGGTGACTTGGTTGATTGCGTGTCTTGGTACTGGTTTGGATAGTTGCTCACAATAACTATCGCTGTATTGTCTGACCCAGATTCGATTATTAACAAGCCGCCGTCATTTAGCTTGAAAATTGCTGAGTGCGGCGCTAAACACGCACGCACGCACGCACACACGCACGCACGCACGCACGCACGCACGCACACACACACACACACACACACACACACACACAAACGTTTAAATGTCTCCCTTCTTTTTTAAGTGTGTAGTACCCGGCCGTCAGATATCGTTTTTCTACTGGACACGTCCAATGGGGGTGAAGACAATTTCAAGAAAGGTCTTGAGTTTGTCCGCAATTTTGCTAGCAAACTCATCATCGGCCCCGACAACGTCCAGATCAGCATCGTCAGCTTCTCAACGTCATGGCAGATGGAGTTCTCTCTCAACAAGTTCAGCAAGAAACAGGGTCTCCTGAATGTGAGTACTTTGGGAGCTTCTCGAGAACTCTTCTGACTCTTCACAACTATCCTTATAGGGAGGGGCATTTAAATTCCTGATGACGTCGGGATTGGGTTTTTTTTAACGTCAAAGCAACGATTGTTGATTCCTTTCAGTGAGACGTTTTGCTGCGGTAATATTATATCCGTTCATTATTAATACCATCAGCTCAAACATCAAACATCTTCCCGAGGCAGGTGAGTTAACTGACTTTAAAAGTCCAGTTTCCACCCTTGCCGAACATTGCTGGAATTCCTGGGCTCGATCGTAGCGCCACCAGTGGCAATTACGAGAGTTTTGTCCCTTCAATGCCTCTCCTACGGACCAATCAGATTACACCACTCGTATCACTTGCATTTGCTTCTAACAAACTGGCGGCGCCCAGTCAAGACGATCTGATCGATAATCAGATAAAACGGGTCTTACATCGCGAAGTGCATAAAATCACGTGAGCACCTGGATTAAAAATATGAAAAGATTTGGAAAATATCTGTTGACAAATAGTTGAGCGGTGCACATGCTTTGCAAATCCTGCAGTCGACCGAAATCTGCATGACAGTTTACAAACCGGATTTCGATTTCGTTGCACGATTTTGATTGGACTATGCATAGACTAGTTAGTCCAGCCAAAATGTAACTCCATAATACCAGCCTAGTTCGGCAAGGGTGGAAACTGGACTTTCATAGTCAGTTAACTCTCTTGCCTCGGGAAGATGACATCAAAGGAAACTCAAGATTTTTTGGAGCACATTATATCAGATACGGTATGATTCTGTTACTAGTTGCAACGATTTTTCTTACTTCTGATCCTAGTCTTTTACAATATATGTGCTTGTACCAATCAGCCAGCTCCCATTCGCGTTGATCGTTGTTCATGATGTCAATCACTGGAATGTCTGGTCCAGACTCTATTATTTACAGGCCACCGTCATATATCTAAAATATTACTGGCATTAGAAAACAAACAAACAAACAAACAAACAATCAACCATCTATTGGTGGTTGAAGCGACAATCGTCAAGGTATGGTGATACTCAAATTAAACAACGGTCACCCTGCCAGTAACTATTCATACCCAGCAACCAGTGTGATTGCCCGATCCACATTTGGATCTTACAGTTACCATGCTTCAGTATCCTCAAGGGCCTCAGAGACAAGGGGGTAAAGCAAGACGCTATAGCATGTCCTATGAATGGTACAAAACAGGTAGACCATTTGTTTGAGACAATATTGACGCCGAGAGCATCGCTGCTACAATAATTTTCTACACTGAGTTTAAGTTGCCTCATCCCAGGCTGTCATGAAAATCCCCTACCGACCGGGCAACACACCAACAGCTGATGGCCTCCACTTTGTTGGCGAGAACAGCTTCCAGAGTGGAAATGGCGCACGTCCCAACGCTAACCAGATTGTCGTCGTAATCTCGGACGGGGGTTCAGCGAAATCAAGCCAGACGGCCGTCGAAGCTGCCGCTCTGCACGAAAAGGATATCAAGGTTATCGCCCTTGGCGCCGGTCTAAGGATCGACAGCAATGAGCTGAACAACATCGCCAGCGGTAACGCCTTCGTCTTCACCGCTGTCGACTTCGACGCTCTGTTGAAGATGGAAAAGGATATCCGAGATACAACGTGTAAGTTCGCGACATCCTCGGAGAGGTGGGGTGGGGTTGGGTGGGTGAGGGTGGGGGGTGGGGGCTAGACCTCACGCTCTTATGCTCAAGCTTGTGGTCGCGTGAAATTGAGACATTGTTTCCGCGTATTTAGGGGAATCACTTAGTGTTAGCTTATTATAGACCATATACCTTAGCCGATGAGTAAAGTCACGTAGAGAGACCGGTTTTAAATTGTCTGAGCCTGCCAAATACTCAAGGCCTAGACCGCCTTTTCACCAGAAAAGTGTACACCTTTATTCTATTATGATATTGGCAATCATTGTCAGAATATCTTAGTCGTCAACTCGAGATAAAACACACGTATATATATAACTCTTAAAAATCACATTCGTGAAACCGTTTGAGTAAATTATAAAGCTCCTCATTGGACTTAATTTAATGGCACGTTGAGTTTAGTTGCTTATGTGTGTGTTTTTACAGGCAAGACTCAAGTACCGAGTAAGTATATCCTTAATATTTTCTTTTAATATTGTTACATTTAGTTACATATTCAGAGTTCCTTCACATGTAGTCATTTGGATAACGTAATATTATGTGAAACATTTATTTCTTTTATTTATCCCTTTAAAATATCTTTTCTTTTTGAGAGAAAAAGTGAGTACACTTAGGACATCAATTCAAAGGTATTGAAGTTAGATTCGATTCCTGTAAATTCCATACGAAACCCACCAGCACTTGTATGATGCTGATACACCAAGATTCAGGCGAATCTAGGTTTTGTACAATGTAAAGCACATCTGGACATGCGGGATTATACAGTATGATTGAACACATTTAACTGTGCCTTGGGTATATTTTTAGATGCAAGATATGTGTAAAATCAAAATTATTTCTGAGGGATTCTTTGAAGAAGAACTTGAAATCATACGTGCATTCTGATTGGTTTGTCGTATTTTCGCACATAACATTCATCGATAGGGGGACGAGGCGTCTTACAGGTTACGGAAAGGGGCGAATGGTGACGAATGCTCCACACAGTGTTTACTGAGAACATCACGCCACCCGTACTCAAAATTGTGTATACTGAGAACATCACGCCACCCGTACTCCATACAGTGTATACTGTATATCTTATAAATGTTGGGAACTAAGGATAATAACATGGTTGAATAAATCGTAACTGAGATGCATTTTCTTGAAGATATATTGTATTTACTCGCAAAGTGCCTGTCGTTTGAGTTTCATGCATTCAGTTATTAATCAGTTTATACACGCATAACACCATTTTGCGTTCTATAACCTAGTACAGTTCATTGTTTATTCTTTTTGGACAGCATGTTCCACAGAGCCAACAGAAATCGTTTTTCTTCTCGATTCGTCCTCAAGCGAAGGCTCTGTTAATTTCAAGAAGCAGCTTAACTTTGTCAGCAACTTCATTGACGGTTTTGACATCAGTCCTAGTGCTGTTCAGGTGGCAGTTGTAACGTTCTCGACCGTTGCCACCAACCGTTTCTTCCTGAACGATTATATGAGCAAGGCTTCTCTGAAGAGCGCCATCACCAGGATCCCTTACAATTCTGGTAATACCCATACGGGGAACGGGTTGGAGTTCGTCAGACAGACATCTCTCAGGTACGTCAATGTTGTCAGACAAATCTCGCTCAGGTACGTCAAGGTTAGACATAACTCTCTCAGGTACGTCAGTGTTGTCAAACAAATCTCTCTCAGGTACGTCAATGTTGTCAGACCAATCACTCCAAGGTACGTCAGACCAATCTCTCTCAGGTACGTCAATGTTGTCAGACAAACCTCTCAGGTACGTCAATGTTGTCAGACCAATCTCTCTTCGGTACGTCAATGTTGTCAGACCAATCTCTCTTCGGTACGTCAATGTTGTCAGACAAATCTCTCTTCGGTACGTCAATGTTGTCAGACCAATCTCTCTTCGGTACGTCAATGTTGTCAGACCAATCTCTCTCAGGTACGTCAATGTTGTCAAAACCAATCTATCTCAGGTACGTCAATGTTGTCAGACAAACCTCTCAGGTACGTCAATGTTGTCAGACCAATCTCTCTCAGGTACGTCAATGTTGTCAGACAAATCTCTCTCAGGTACGTCAATGTTGTCAGACAAATCTCTCTCAGGTACGTCAATGTTGTCAGACAATTATATCTCAGGTACGTCAATGTTGTCAGACCAATCTCGCTCAGGTACGTCAATGTTAGACAAATCTCTCTCAGGTACGTCAATGTTGTCAGACCAATCTCTCTCAGGTACGTTAATGTTGTCAGACCAATCTCTCTCAGGTACGTCAATGTTGTCAAAACCAATCTATCTCAGGTACGTCAATGTTGTCAGACAAACCTCTCAGGTACGTCAATGTTGTCAGACAAATCTCTCTCAGGTACGTCAATGTTGTCAGACCAATCTCTCTCAGGTACGTCAATGTTGTCAGACCAATCTATCTCAGGTACGTCAATGTTGTCAGACCAATCTCTCTCAGGTACGTCAATGTTGTCAGACAAATCTCTCTCAGGTACGTCAATGTTGTCAGACAAATCTCTCTCAGGTACGTCAATGTTGTCAGACAATTCTATCTCAGGTACGTCAATGTTGTCAGACAAATCTCTCTCAGGTACGTCAATGTTGTCAGACCAATCTCTCTCAGGTACGTCAATGTTGTCAGACAAATCTCTCTCAGGTACGTCAATGTTGTCAGACCAATCTCTCTCAGGTACGTCAATGTTGTCAGACCAATCTATCTCAGGTACGTCAATGTTGTCAGACAAACCTCTCAGGTACGTCAATGTTGTCAGACAAATCTCTCTCAGGTACGTCAATGTTGTCAGACCAATCTCGCTCAGGTACGTCAATGTTAGACAAATCTCTCTCAGGTACGTCAATGTTGTCAGACCAATCTCTCTCAGGTACGTTAATGTTGTCAGACCAATCTCTCTCAGGTACGTCAATGTTGTCAGACAAATCTCGCTCAGGTACGTCAATGTTGTCAGACAAACCTCTCAGGTACGTCAATGTTGTCAGACAAATCTCTCTCAGGTACGTCAATGTTGTCAGACCAATCTCTCTCAGGTACGTCAATGTTGTCAGACCAATCTATCTCAGGTACGTCAATGTTGTCAGACCAATCTCTCTCAGGTACGTCAATGTTGTCAGACAAATCTCTCTCAGGTACGTCAATGTTGTCAGACAAATCTCTCTCAGGTACGTCAATGTTGTCAGACCAATCTCTCTCAGGTACGTCAATGTTGTCAGACCAATCTCGCTCAGGTACGTCAATGTTGTCAGACTAATCTCTCTCAGGTACGTCAATGTTGTCAGACCAATCTCTCTCAGGTACGTCAATGTTGTTAGACCAATCTCTCTCAGGGGGCATCACACAGGGCTCTGTCAAGTACGTTAATGTTGTCAGACCAATCTCTCTCAGGTACGTCAATGTTGTCAGACCAATCTCTCTCAGGTACGTCAATGTTGTTAGACCAATCTCTTTTAGGGGGCATCACACAGGGCTCTGTCAGGTACGTCAATGTTGTCAGACCAATCTCTCTCAGGGGTCATCACACAGGGCTCTGTCAGGTACGTCAATGTTGTCAGGGTCATCAGACAGAGCTCTGTCAGGTATGTCAATGTTGTCGGGGTCATCACACAGACCTCTGTCAGGTACGTCAGTGTTATGGACATCATATTGGATTATACAAGTGTCACTATTGTTTTTACAATGTATTATGTAGTGTTATTACTTGTAGCGGAGTTATACATCGCAACGTCACGTATATCAGGGCAAAACATTTGCCATATTTCTGTGAATACCATCTCGGTGAAGATGCGGGTTAGAATTGGTCTTCAGCCATCCATGCTTGTTGTAAGAGGCAACTTACGTCGTATACCAATTGCGTGATGTGAATCACTGGATTGTCTGGTCCAGACTCGATTATTTACAGGCTGTCGTCATATAGCTGGTATATTGCTGAGTGCGGCGTCAAACAAACAAACAAACAAACAAACAACGCCGTAATATAACTAATATACTGTTCAAACCGGCGTATCCCAATTGCATAGAGCGATGCTCATGATGTCAATCACTGGATTTGTTGGTGCAGACTCGATGACGTACAGACCACCGTCATATAGCTGGGATATTACCGAGTGCGACGTTTCAAACAAACAAACAAAACATTCCGACAGACGGTTTCGTTTCCAGCCAAGCACACGGGGCACGGCCTGGGTCCAAGAAGGTAGTGATCGTGATGACCGACGGTCAGTCCCAACAGAAACTGCTGACCGCCAATCAGGGCATCCTGCTCCGCAAAGAAGGGGTTATGGTCATTTCCATTGGCATTGGTGCAGCCATTGACCTCTCGGAACTCGCAGTCATAGCCTCTGATGACAAACACATGGTCAAGGTTGGTCGTATGTCCTCATTTCGTACACAATGTATAACCTTTTGATCACAGGAAGCGTCGTGAGTGAGTGAGTGAGTATGGTTTAACGCCGCTTTTAGCGATATGCCAGCAATATCACGGCGGGGGATACCAGAAATGGGCTTTACATATTGTACCCATGTCGGGAATCGAACCCGGGTCTTCGGCGTGACGAGCGAACGCTTCAACCACTAGGCTACCCGACCGGCCCGGAAGCTTCGTGAAGGAGCATTGCATTTTAACATTAGTGAGTGCGTGAATAAGATTTTCGTTGCCTTTAGTATTATTGCAACAATATTACAACGAGGGACGCGAAAAACGAAAGATGTGTCGTGTTGAAACCCAGGCTTTTTTCAAATAATCAACTTATTGTCAAATGACTTTAAAAAGAAAATACTGTCTGATAAATAGAGCTGAAAATATACTTTCAAAACAGTTGGATCCATCCCTCTTTCAATTGATATCTAAAGATACTATTCTGTGTTTGTGTCATGTTTGTGCTGGAAACTCAGTAACACGAGTGAGTGAGTGGAATGGATCTTACGCCATTTTAGCATATTCTAGCAATATCACGTCGGGGGACACCAGAAATTGGCTTCACACATTGTGTCCATGTGGGGAATCGAACCCGGCCATCGACGTGATGAGCGGGCGCTTAAACCACAAGGCTACCCCAGCGTTAGATCACGAGAGGGATTAGCGTTTAATTAACATGTTTATTTCCAGGGTGGAAAACAATGATGGTATTGTTTAAGTCAGATGTTAAGTTTATATGTGAGAAGAGATATTTGGTCAATAATTCGGGTATTGTGATAGTTGGAAAACGGAGGGGGTTTCTGTGAAAATTTCCCAATCTCAAATGCCATCTTATTGGCATGAGTTTACTGACGAATATCTATTTTGTAATGACATACACGTAATGTTACGATTTCATAATGTAACAACGTTGACGCGCGCGCGAGCGTGCGTGCATGCGTGCGTGCGTGTGTGTTTGTGTGTGTGTTGTAAAGGACTACAGGTCAATATTTCGTCTGTGTAGGTGTCTAATTTCGACAACCTGAACGCCATTGAAAAACAGATCCAGGATATAGTTTGTAAGTAGTAAACAATTAGAGGTAAATGAATCAACATACCCTTTATAACGTAACATGTTAATTAAATTTTCTCTGTGGTTTACTTATTTCTTCATGAAGAATTATTTTTTATGCACAGTCAAGAGATGAGAGGACATTTGCATATTGTCAGTGGTTACATGGGACGACAGACAGTGGTACTTAATTACGCACCATGAAGATCCGGGGTAGATAAAGGTCTTCTGCAACCCATGCTTGCCATAAGAAGCGACAAACGGGATCGGGTGGACAGGATCGCTGACTTGGTTGATGCTCGTAATCTTATCCCAATAGCGGAGATCGATGCTCATGATGTGGATGACTGTATTGTCTGGTCTAGACTCGATTATTTACAGACCGCTGTCATATAGCTGAAATATTGCTGAGGGCGGCGTTAAACAACAAACAAACAAATAACACGTAATTACGTGCAAGTTGAGATGTGATAAGTGCAATGTTTACCTCGATATGTTTGCTCATATTTCAGGTAGTGGTCTAGGTAAGTTGTAGCTTTGAGTTTCGTTTATGTGGCATTAACCTTGAAAAATGATCGCAAAGGCGTTATTTTCACAATTCTCTCTTTGTTAACAAAGACTAACAAAAACATTTCCATGGTCATAAGAAATAATCTTACTAAAAGTATTGTTCATTGTACGATTCCGACAAAATCATAGCATTTGTTTATGAAATCAAATAGTTCTGATACCAGATATTCGCCTAGAGGTGAGCCTATCCTTCCCTACAGGTGCACTGATACAAACACACGCAAAGTCAAGTCAATTGTTCACTTGAAATAAACACAGGAACATGTAGTACAAGTAATTCGACATCGATACCTAGTGGTCATTCCCAAGTTCAAAATTAATCCTGAAAGATAATGCTCGCGAACCAGCATACATTTGAATAAGGTCTCTTCTTGAGTACTTATGTATCTACATTTCAGTGTGTGCGTCAACGCCAGCTGATATCATGTTCGTCCTCGACTCCTCCGCCAGCATCGGCCCCTTCAACTTCCACGTCATGCTCAACTTCATCACAGACTTCGTCCGTAAGTTTGACGTGGGCACAAGCGCGGTACAGTTCGGTGTGGTCACATTTGCTAACGATGCTCACCCACAGTTTGACCTTGGACGCTACGAGACCAGAGCCCAGGTGATCGCCGGCATCAGCAACATCCTCTACCGCTACGGCGGTACGTACACGGAGAAGGCTCTGCAGTACGTCAGGACAACAAGCTTCTCGCCAGGTCACGGGTCAAGGTCACTGGCCGCTAAGATCGCCATTGTCCTCACCGACGGACAGTCACAGTCAGTCGAGAAGGTACCGTGAACCCTCGATTATCCAGCGTATATATATTATATCTCCGTTCTATATCAGAAACTCTGAACACATTCACTCTTTCAGGAATAGACGCCAGCCTCAGTCTACATCCCTTTTACCAGCAACTGTGTTTTGGGGAGCTATACCTATACGGTTCTGTGTCGCCATTGTCTGTTTAAAACATTACTGTGCAACTCTCACGGTCGTGAGGGTGACCGGGAGCGAGTGGACTGACTGGTCTGGTTAAAACATTACTCTTCATCTCTCAAGGTCGTGAGTGTTTTGCTAAGGCCAGGAGCGAGCATCTTCCCGAGGCAAGAGAGTTAACTGACTTTAAAAGTCCAGTTTCCACCCTTGCCGAACTAGGCTGGAATTCCTGGCCTCGATCATAGCGCCACCAGTGGCTGTTACGAGTTAATTCCCTTCTATGCCTCTCCTATGGACAAGTCAGATTCCACCTTTCGTATCACTTGCATTTGCTCCAAACAAAATGGCGGCGCCCAGTCAAGACGATCTGATCGACAATCAAGATCTATATTGTAATAAAACGGGTCTTACATCGCGAAATGCATAAAATCACGTGGGCACCTTGATTAAAAACTTGAAAAGATTTGGAAAATATATGTTGACAACGAGTTGGCGGTGTACATGCTATGCAAATCCTGCAATCGACCGAAATCTGCATGGCAGTTTACGAACCGGATTTCGATTTCGGTGCGCGATTTTGATTGGTCTATGCATAGGCTCGTTAGTCCAGCAAAAATGTTACTCCATAATACCAGCCTAGTTCGGCAAGGGTGGAAAATGAACTTGTATAGTCAGTTAACTCCCTTGCCTCGGGAAGACGAGGAGCGAGTGGTCTGACTGGTCTGGTTAAAACATACGCTTCAACTCTCACGGTCGTGAGGGTTTCGCTAAGACCTGGAGCGGGTGGTCCGACAACCGTTACTTACTTACATAAAACATGCATGTACCCGCGCACACGTATTAACGCAACACAAGGCTTGATACTCACATAAACTTTACTGAGCTCTAGTCGAACCATCTCCGAATACACAACTACATGGACAGGACAGGGTAAGCTCGTCACAGAGTGGGTGACTGGAATGACCGAGATTCCACTAGATCAACTGACCCGCACCACTCTCATAACGATGCAGCTATCTTTATAAAGTGTTCGAGCTCGACCCGCCTTTATCATATGTCCTAACATTTCACTCTGAATCGTTAAAAAAACATATCAGACCATGAATCCCTGTTTGTGTCGTGATCGGAAAAATCCCGAGAACTACTGACCAGTTAGTCCCCCTCTTTGGTTCTCCTCCTGGTCTTTTATGTTAAATGCATCCTGTCAGTATCAATAATTATTAAAATAAATTCACAGTATCGATGCTATCACGAAAGTAGCTGGAATTTAAAATGTTGAATTTTGCACACTGAATTTCGTACGTCCATGAGCGATTAGATGTTTTTAGATTTGTGTCCCTCGTCTCAAAACGGGGCTAAAGTGGCGAATGGGTTCAAATTATTTATAAATGATTTAAGGTGGGTATGTGATATTTTACCAAAGTTAAGTGACCTAGTGAAAATATATTAATCAATAATCAGCATTGTGTCGATTCTAAACAATTTATTTGTTTATTGACAGTATATTTGTTTAAATTTATTATTCTGCCCAGTTCTATAATGAAAGGCATACGAAACAATAAATATGATAGTACACTCCAGTCAGGGCTATAGTTGATGACATGTGTCAATAAATTAGTTGTATAATTTTTGAACTAACTACAATTATGTGTTAAACCCCAACTCACTCATAACCATGAATGTAAATATACTGAAGCTTGAATTGTATTTATGTTTTGAATTGTGTCCGTCTGTCTTTGTGTTGTTTAACTCCGCACTCAGCTATATTCCAGCTGTATGACACACAGGGGCTACTTACCATCTTCCGGGTTGGCATGGATAGCGGTTATCCCCTGTATGACGGCAGTCTTTAAATGATCGAATATAGACCAGACAATCAAGTTTTTGACATCATGAACATCGATCTACGCAACTGTGATACAATGACATGCATCAACCAAATCAGCGAGCCCGACCGTCCGATCCTAATAGTCGCCTATAGTTTGAATTGTGTACACATACTGACCATCGTAATTTGGTAGGCATCAATAATGCTTGTAGGTGTCCTTCACATACCCCTTGTATTGATAGTTCCGTGTAACTCTCTGCAGGGATAGGGGTATTTGCTGTGAACAGTTGCTTCCCCAAACTTCCCGGTCCCACTGGTTCAAATTCCCCATTTCCCCCATTAACAAACCTAGTATGAAATACTATTAGGAGCATTCTCGCATTTTTATTCGCGTTCTCAACCTGCGGAAATCATCTTCACCAAGCAAGAGAGTTAACTGACTATAAAAGTCCAGTTTCCACCCTTGCCGAACTAGGCTGGTATTATGGAGTAACTGTTACATTTTGGCTGGACTAACGAGTCTATGCATAGTCCAATCAAAATCGCCCACCGAAATAGAAATCCGGTTCGTAAACGGTCATGCAGATTTCGGTTGATTGCAGGATTTGCACAGCATGTGCACCGCCAACTCGTTGTCAACAGATATTTTCCAAATCTGTTCATATTTTCAATCAAGGTGCTCACGTGATTTTATGCACTTCGCGATTTAAGGACCGTTTTTATTACAATATAGATCTTGATTATCGATCAGATCGTCCTGACTGGGCACCACCATTTTGTGTGAAGCATGTGATACGAGTGGTGGAATCTGATTGGTCCATAGGAGAGGCTTAGAGGGGACATAACTGGTAAACGCCACTGGTGGCGCTACGATCGAGCCAAGTAATTCCAGCCTATTAGAGTCAGTTAACTCCCTTGCCTCGGGAAGATGTCGGAAATAAGCTTCTAAAAATGGGTGATCTAAAATATCAAAATCCTTTCTCAGATAATGTTACTGCCTACAATAAACTACATTTGTTTTTTTGTTGTTGTTTTTTTGTTTTTCGTTGTTGTTTTTTGTTGTATTTTTTGGGAGGTCGGATCCACTATACCTCCTCTGGATCCGCCTGTGCTAAGTATGTTTGTCATCACCTTACCCATGCTCGTGATAGTTCCTCTCAGCTAAATCTAATACACTTTGATAATAGTGAAATACTGATCAAAGCCGCGTTAACCTCACCTTGCTCACATAGTTTTCTGTGCAGAGTTGCTTCCTTTGGGCACTTCAGAAACCTATGATTGTGGGTTCGAATCTTGGTTCGCTCCGATTATGTTTCTAGGGATGTCAGCACCATACCCGTGCTCGTGGGTTTCACCCAAGTGGTAAACGTCTGAGACCTGCATCACTTCGGGCTTTCCTCCCTTATTAAGCTGACACGCCGTGATATAACTGGAATATTGTTAAAACCGGCGTAAAACCCAACTTACTCGCTCACTCACATAGTTTTCGACCTCGCGGTACACTCAAACATACCTTGTTTCATTTCAACTTAGACCAAGGCAGAAGCTCAAGCTCTGCACTCTGCTGGTATCGAGGTAATTTCTGTCGGCATCGGCAGCGCCGTCAACGCCAAAGAGCTGACCAACATAGCAACCAACGTCTCCTACGTCTTCAGCGTGGCTACCTTCGACGCCCTCGACACAATACAGGCGGAGTTGCTGCAGGCGACGTGTTCAGGTATACTCAGTATTATTCATGATTGCTCATAATAAAAGTGGTGAGGTAGGGTAGCCTACTGGTTAAAGCGTTCGCTCGTCACGCCGAAGGTCCAGGTTCGATTCCCCACATGAGTACAATGTGTGAAGCCCATTTCTGGCGCCCCCCGCCGCCATGTTGCTTGAATATTGCAAAAAGCGGCGTAAAACCAGAATAAAAGTGAGTACAGTTCTGAAGTAAAGAGCGTCAGACAGCGTTTTCATAAGAATGAACCTGTTTGTTGAAGGCCGAGGGATCTGTATTCTCTTATCTGTTCATCGTTTATTAGCTGTTCTATACAATGCAACCGGTCAATAATATTGTCATATATAGTCGAACCTCGTTGTGTCGAACTTGTTGGGACCTATGAAAAGGTTCGAGTTATCCGGGGTTCAAGACATCAGGGGAATTTGATGCTCAATTTTCTTACTGTTGTCTCCCAAATGTGTTCGAGACAACAGGACAATTCGACACATCAATGTTCGACGCAACGAGGTTGGACTGTATTTAAACGTTCCTCCGGTGTCCGGACTAACGAGGCATGATTGTATGACAGGGGCTAAGATTAGAGACCCCCTCGCGACATGATGCAAATGTCGAAAGATGATGTAGGGACCCGTGAAGATCCGGGGTATAACAGGTCTTCAGCAACCCATGCTTGCCGTAAAAGGCGACTATGCTTGTCGTAAAAGGCGACTAACGGGATCGGGTGATCAGGCTCGCTGACTTGGTTGATGCATCTCATCGTTTTCCAATTTCGAAGACCGATGCTCATGATGTGAATCACTGGATTGTCTGGTCCAGACTCGATTATTTACAGACCGCCGTCATATAGCTTGAATACTGCTGAGTGCGGCGTTAAACAACAAACAAACAAAAAGATGATTTACGGATGAACGAACACGGTAACGCAGCTGCTGGTAGTATTTCTGGGACCTGCGTGTCCGTTAGGTACTAAGAAAATATCCCTGACAAAATATAATCACAGACATGAATGTAATACTTATGCTAGTTATTCATACTTAAAATGCGTATCGAACCCTTGACTAATAAGCACACCTGTCACCATTGCAGCACAGGTGACTCAACCGCCAGGTGAGACATCCCCTACTCTCCTTAGTTAAACGATATGATGACACACTATTGTTGTTGCAGTTGAGTCAGGAATTCACTGGTTATTCTGAACTTACATTTTAACAAGAAAACTGACTCAACCATATGCCATTATACAAAATTACAGAGAAACTATCTATCAACCATAACATGGTTTAAGTCGGAGAAATCACTCGAAACGCAAAATACCTGATTCCCGCTGCTTCTTGTTTAAATGATTCGGTCAATTGGATTTACCTTCCTTAACATACCTACTTCCGACGATAAACACGCGAGGTCAGTGCCTCCAACGCAAGCACATCCTAAACTTCATCAACTAAGAAAGGCATCCACATTCAATGTTCGCCCGACCCGTGAAGATCCGGGGTAGAATAGGTCAACCCATGCTTGCTGTAAAAGACGACTATGCTTGTCGTAAGAGGCGACTAACGGGATCGGGTGGTCAGGCTCGCTGACTTGGTTGATGCATGTCATCGATCCCAATTGGGTGGATAGATGCTCATGGTATTACTGAATTGTCTGGTCCAGACACGATTATTTACAGACCGCCGTCATATAGCTGGAATATTGCTGAGTGCGGCGTTAAACAACAAACCAACCAACCAACTAATCCATGTTCGCCCACAAAACCAACTCCTGTTATGTTCTGAAGCCATCTTGTAACTGTTTCAGCTACCGTCAAACGTAAGTATCATTTAGTAATATTATTTCAGTAATTTCAATTATTTCATAGGAATTACTTAGACGTTGACGGATGACAAAGTAGACACAATTCATGGATAACAACTTCTTTGTTTATACGAGCGGTTGTTCTCGTTTTCTCACATATACTTCTCAACGTTTGATAGGGATACTCAGATAATGAAGGTACAACTATCCCTATCAAAAGCGGAGTGGTATATTCAGGTATTGTTGTCTGCTGCTGAATGTCCCATTTATTCCGTCAATACTGACAGCCGGGCCGTGTGTGTCGACTGACTCTGCCGACGTCATCTTCCTCCTCGACTCCTCCAACAGCGAGGGACCCAACAACTTCCAGCAGGAGCTGGACTTCGTCGTCAAATTCGTCGACGACTTTCCCATCGGCCCCAACAACTTCCAGTTTGGCATCATCACATTTGCATCTAACGCGCGCATGCAGATCAGTCTGAACGACAACCCCACGGAAAGTGACCTGCGGCTAGCTATACTTCAGGTAGGACACACAGCTGTATTAGAGGCAATCTCATTAAAATCAGATCTTAGTTCTCGCTACAGCTAAACAAAGATCTGAGGACATCCCATTACGGGTCACGTCAGACCGACCTTGCGCGAACTTTGACCGACCAATGGAATGACCAAGCAGAAGGCAGCTTTCTCGTGCTTTACGGCACTAATTTTAAATTGGCGACTACGCTTCCTATATTTTGACAAATTCTGGATTACAAATTTGAAACCTGAACAAAAGAACATGCTGGAATGGCTAATAGATGGTCTAGATTGCATGGATTCAGTCGTTAAACCCGTAACTATCGTTCGGAGATAAAGTGTTCGAGGTTGCATGATTAGAAATCCCATCCCGACTGTCACTTTCATAATCTGGTAAGCGATGCCCTGATTGGTCGGATGAAAGGTCGTTCTGACGCGACCCCTAATGGGATGTCTTCAGATCTTTGTTTAGCGGGAGCGAGATCTGTGGTCTGATTTTAATGAGATTTATTGGAGGTGAGGTGAAATGGGGTTTGAACGCGTGTTTAGGACTATTGAATTCATATAGCGATGTGAGGGTGATTGCGTGCATGCGTGTATGCGTGTATGCGTGTGTCTACTTGTACTTGTTCGGACTAATGCCGATTTTATAGTGCTAGCCTACTGAGATACCATGCCGCAGTTTGACATGAATACCCCCTACACAGTATTCTGACTCCGAGCAGACCAGTCCTTGTTTTAGCCCCTTAATGCCGAGCGCCAGGCAGGGTAAGAACAATTTTTTAAAGTCTTCTGGTACGACGCAGCCGGGATCGAATTACTCACCTTCCGCTCTCCGGGGGGCTATCTGTTTACTAGCTCACGGAGGCGGTCGGCTGTATTAGAATACTGATTAGCATGGTGCGCGCGTGTGTTCGTGCGTGACAAAAGGCTATACATGCCAGCTTTACGTAGAGCAGTTGTCTCCGTACAGGTTCTCTGGATGTTCTGATAACGGACTCGCATTTCCTTTTTTTATTTTAAAACAAGGAGGAATTAATGAAGTCGTATTTCTCCATAACTGTGAGTGAGGGAGTATGGTTTTACGCCCCTTTTAGCAATATTCCAGCAATATCACGGCAGGGGACACCAGGAATGAGCTTCACACATTGTACCCATATCGGGTATCGAACCCGGGTCTTCGGCGTGACGAGCGAACGCTTTAACCACTAGGCTACCCGACCGCCCCCCATAACTGTGGGTTTATACAAATAATAATACTCAGAAAATATGTTTATAAAGATTTAATATATGAAACCATGCTATGTTATCGTAATAGGGTATTGTCAGATGGGGAATACCCTTTACAGACTTCATCCGGATATGTTTTAGAGTTGCGTAATGGTAGTGCCAGTTGTGACTCTGTATACGTCTTCCTGAATGAGAGTCGTGTGTTTGTTTGTTGTTTGACGCCTCACTCAGCAATATTCCAGTTATATGACGGCGGTCTGTAAATAACCGAGTCTGGACCGGATAATCCAGTGATTGATATCATGAGCATCGATCTACGCAATTCGGATACGATGGCATGCATCAATGACGTCAGCGAGCCTGACCACCCGATCCCGTTTGTCGCCTCTTACGACAAGCATAGTCGCCTCTTTCGGCAAGCATGGGTTGCTGAGGTCTATTCTTACCCTGATGTTCCAGGGTCGAATCAGAGTTGTGCCCCATGCTTCTTAAGAGGTGAGGTGAAATTGGGTTTAACGTCGCGCCCAAGGTTATTACACTTATATAGCGACGTGCATGTACGTGTGTGTGTGTGTGTGTGTGTGTGTGTGGCTGCTTGTACTAGTCCGGACTGATGCCGATTTATAGTGCTAGCTCACTGAGATACCATGCCGCAGTTTAACATGAATACCCCACTCAGACACAGTATACTGACTCCGAGCCAACCAGTCCTTGTTTTATCCCCTTAATGCCGAGTGCCAGACAGGGTAAAAAAAAGCTTCTTAAGAGCCGAATAGGATGAGGACTGGATGGTTACAGTTTGAAACCTGGCTAAGTGTGTCATCGTTCCCGATTGTGTAGATCCGCCATATAGCTAGAACATTGTTGAGTACGGCGTTAAAGAACAAACAAACGATAGTGTAGATCCTTGATCATGCAGACAACTACATGACTACATGGCCCAGATTGAATTATTTTACATGTCACCATCAAATAACTGTGTTACTTATAGCGTCGCAAATCACAATTCACTCACTCTTGTCCTGTCAGGTTGACTACGATGGCGGCCTAACCTACGCCAACGAAGCTCTCGAGCTCGCCCGCACTGTGGGCTTCACAGACGTCAGTGGTGCCCGGAACGGGACCCGTAGATTTGTGATAGTCGTTACTGACGGTGCATCCACTGCACCCGCAGCCACCCTGAAGGAGGCTCAGCTTCTAAAGGACGAAGGTGTGACTATCATCACCGTCGGCGTTGGAAAACAAGTGGCGGAGACGGAGTTGAGGACGGTGGCCACTGACAGTAGTGGTGGTGTATTTCTTGTCAACTCTTTTGGGGACCTTCAGACAGAAGAACATGACATCGAACTAGAGCTCTGCTCTGAGGTAGGCCAGTAGTTCTTGAAGTAACATGGCTTTAATTACTTAAGCCAGGCCATAGCCCTGCTCTGAGGTAGGCCAGTAGTTCTTGAGGTGAGGTGAAATTGGGTTTAACGTCGCGTCTAAGATTATTGCACTTATATAGCGACGCGCATGCACGTGTGTGTGTGTGGCTGCTTGTACTAGTCCGGACTGATGCCTATTTATAGTGCTAGCCCACTGAGATACCATGCCGCAGTTTAACATGAATGCCCAACTCAGACACAGTATACTGACTCCGAGCCGACCAGTCCTTGTTTTAGCCCCCTTAATGCCGAGCGCCAGACAGGGTAACAACAAGTACCATCTTTTAACGTCTTTTGGTATGACGCGGTCGGGGATCGAACCCCGGACCTTCCGCTCTCCGGGCCAGTAGTTCTTAAAGTAACGTGGGTTTAATTACCTAAGCCGGGCAATAGCTCTACTCTGGGGTAGGCCAGTAGTTCCGAAAGAAACGTGGCAATATCACGGCGAAGGACACCAGAAATAGGCTTCACACATTGTACCCATGTGCGGAATCGAACCCGGGTCTTCGACGTGCCGAGCGAACGCTTTAACCACTAGACTATCCGACTGCCCTATTTCTTGTTTAACGGATTTGTTATTAAAGTATATCAAGATGAAAGCGGCCAAATAGAAGTTTAAAATTAGTGATGACTTTTTTGTGGTTGGTTTTAAGTTTCTAAGAAAAAAAACCTACAGCTTTAATGAATTTCCTTTGTAAAATGTTCAAGGCACAACACTGTCACGTGGCCTTATCCCTTATCGTTGGTAGTTACAGTATATTTCAACTGCGTGGTCTTGTGAGGTGTGGTGAAATGGTGTTTAACATCGCGTCAAAGATTATTGCACTTGTACAGCGACGTGCATGCACGTGTGTGGCTGCTTGTACCAGTCCTGACTAATGCCGATTGTCGCCTCTTACGACAAGCATAGTCGCCTATTCTACCACGGATCTTCACGGGTCAGTCGTTCGTGTTACCATGGGAACATATATAGTATGTATATCCGGAGTGTGATAGGGAGTCCTCATGTTTTTTTAAACCAGCTGTCGTGTCTGCGTCAGAAACAGTCAGGTAGGTGAAGGAAGATTTGGTTTTGCAACTTGGCACACGGTCCTGCAGACACAATGTCACTTCAATAAATCGACCATTTTCAGCATGGACAAAAAGAGAGTCCAGTTCGATAAGAAGGGTACAAAAGGGTAGAACGAATTTATTTTGACTTCATTCATCGATAAATCATACTTATATTTTCGGGGTGGTGAAATGGGGGTTTAACGTGGCGTCCATGATAAATGAAATTATATCGCGACGTGCATGCACGTGTGTGTATGTGTGTGTGTGTGTGTGTGGCTGCTTGTACTAGTCCGGACGAATTCCGATTTTATAGTGCTAGCCCACTGAGATACAATGCCGCAGTTTAACACGAAAACCCCACTCAGACGCAGTATACTGACTCATGGACGACTTGTTTTACCCCTTAATGCCAAGCGCCAGACAGGGTTACAACAAGTACAATCTTTGAACGTCTTTTGGTATGACGCGTTTTGGGATCGAACCCCGAACATTCCGCTCTGTGGGCGGACGCTTTACCACTAGCCCACGGAGGCGGTTTATTGTTTCGGTCCGATTTGTAGATTTAAAGATGCCTTGTTATTGACGGTGTTGTGTTGTTGCAATGTTGCAGCTGCGAACGACGCTACCGGCAGTCGTCCCTACAGATCTACCGACAGTGGCAGATACTTTGTGATGCTTCAATTTATGTTTGCAATAAATATTTCATACATGTTATCTCCTGTTTTTGCTTGCGAATGGCCATCTTGTTCGTAAGAAGGGCCACAACGATCCCGTTAGTCGCCTCTTACGACAAGCATAGTCGCCTTTTTGCGGCAAGCATGAATTGCTGACGACCTACGTGTATTCTAACCCGAATCTTCACGGGTATGTCCTTAAGAAGAGAGCAAGAAGTTGGAAATACCATGAAAGGTTGTTTTTCAAGAATCCGAAAAGAATGCCCAGAAGTTTGTTGTTTGTAGTTTAACACCGCATTCAGACATATTACAGATTCTACCCCGGATCTTCACGGGTCCTCAAGTGGTAAATACCTCGTGCACGGATATGGTGTTGAGAGACCAAGAAACATACTATTGACCTCGCCACTTGTAAGAGAATCACGAAATATCGCGATGATTAAATAATATGTAGGCTATATTTGGCAACGTGTACAGCATACGTACATTGCCAGCGCGAACTTGAAAAAACCCCATGTTCAGATGGAGTATTTAATGTGATCAGGAGACGAGTTTTGCCTTTCATGTGCGTTTCGACCAGATTCCATTAAGGAAATATACTGTGCCGTTTATTGCTGAGGCTGTGATAAAATTTGGCTAACCCAAAGTAGTTATGTCAGTTCAAGGGTCGAATTTCATATCAGGGTTGATTCAGCAGGTCATGACTATGAGTTGGGAACATGACAGATCAAATCTAGCATTTATCACAAGGTGCATTGGAGACTCCATCATACACTAAAACTATGATCAGGATTTCCTGCTTTAAACTGAGGAGTAGGACGAAGGGATTTACTTGTTGTTTGCTGTAAGGGACTTCAGAAATCGTTAGGGTTCAGTCCCTTTCAAGTCTTTGATCACATGTTTAGAGTGAGTGAGTTGGGTTTAACGCCGCTTTTAACATTATTCCAGTTATATCGTGGCGTGTATGCTTAATCTGGGAGGAAAGCCTGGAGTGATCCAGGTAGTGGTGTGGTGCTGACAAACATAGAAACATAATCGGGGCGAACCGGGATTCGAACCCAAAATCATAGGTTTCTGGCGTGCCCAAGGGACGCAACTCTGCACAGCGAATCGCGGCGCCTTAGACGCCTTGGCCACCCGTGCCCCCACATGTTTAGAGGACATCTTAAGTATTTAAAGAACAATGGCTTAATGATCAATAATGCTTGGATTTACTAGACTATGTGTCTACTTGCTATCAGACTCTTGAGGGCCAGGATAAATAGAAGTTACCTCACGACAAATCGAAAGCCAGTTATCATTTTTTATGCTTTATTTCATTTTGGAGTACAGAAAGCCAATTATGAAAAAAATAAAATGTCAAGCTTCACTTGGTAGTTATGGCATCGTTGTGGTTAGCACTAGTCCAGAATCTGCAAAGACAGGCTACAGATAGAGGCGGCATATTCCTTTATTCTACAGTCCAACAGTCCATAAATCATGCACTTAAATACGTAATCCGTTTTTTGTAGATCAACCATTACCAACATGCAAATAGTACATTCAATGTTTGTCCAAACAAGAAATTATGTGTGTATTACATCTTGGCGTTCATTGCTCAAATGCAAATGACTTTTTTACCAACCAACCATCCACAGTATGACTACATAGCACACCTAACGTCGAGCCAATCACCCACCCGTGCACGTTTTCTTCTGAACCTCTGTATGGATGGTCTGCAGCACATTGAAGTCCTTCACCGTGAACACATGTGTCTTGTCCGTCGCCATCCCGTCCAGCTCGGACTGGCGCACCTGTGTCCCCACCCCGATAGTGATGACACTGACACCGTCATTCTTCAAATTAGTTGCCGCTGTTAATGTCTGAGTCGGCGACACGGACTCTCCATCTGTGATGACAATGACGTATCTCTTGGCGCCAGGTCGAGCACCATGAGTAGAAGTAAAGCCGTTTGTGTGTGCCAGGGCCAGAGCCTTGTCGGTGTAGGTGGTGCCGCCCGTGTAGGATATGGAAGCGATCGCCTGCTGAAGGGAAGACTTTGTTGTGTGGGTATTAAGGTCAAACACAAGTGAGGCGGAGGTACTGAACCGGACAGCCCCGAATTGCATGTGATCTGGGCCAATGTCGAAGTCGTTGACAAACTTGGAGACGAAGTCTAGTTCCTTTTGGAAATTTAAAGCTCCCTCGCTGCCAGAATCGTCCAGGAGGAAGATGACATCAGCCTTCTCTGACACTGGGCATGGACCAGCTGGGGAGAGAAGGGGTGAGAGGGGATTAAGTGAGTATGGTTTTACGCCGCTTTTAGCAATATACCAGTCATATCACTTAGCGGAGACACCAGGAATGGGCATCACACATTGTACCTATGTGGGGAATCGAACCAAGGTCTTTCTTCATGACGAGCCAACGCTTTAACCACTAGGCTACCCAACCGCCCTGTAAGAGAGGAGCTCGTAAGAAGGGAGCCACAGCGTGCTGGAGAAAGATCAGCTGCCTGAGGGACGAGCCATGGTAGTAGTGGAACGCCATGTTAGTAGTGGAGAGAGTTACACATATTGCATCTTCCCTAGGCAAGGGAGTTGACTGACTATATATGTCCATTTTCCACCCTTGCCGAACTAGGCTAGAATTAGGGACTTATATTTTGGCTGGACGAAAGCGTCTATGCATAGTACAATCCAAATCGCCGAACGAAATCAAGATCTGGATGGTAAACTACCCTGCCGATATCAGGATTTGCATTGCATATATACCGTCAATTTGCCGTCAACAGAAATTTTCCAAATTTTCACGTTTTTTTTTTATCAAAGTGCTCACGTGATTTGAGGCACTTCGCAAATGAAAACCCGTTTTATTACAACATAGATCTTGCTTATCGATCAGATCGTCTTCACTGGGTACCGTCATTTTGTTATCTGATTGGTCAATAGGAGGGACATAGAAGGGACGTAACTCGTAATAGCCACTGGTGGCGCCACGATCGAAATAAAACACCAAATTTCGACTATATTACAATAATCCAATCCATCTAATTGTCTGCCACTTATGGGTGAATGGGTGTTTTCTTTGTTGCTCATTTTAGAGTGATCAAACCAGGATCAAGACGATGTTGGCAATAGAATTATCCTGACAGCTTCCTTTTATTACGATCTACACGTCACTGTCACGTCTACTGCTTATCTGGACACATACAACTGAGTGAGTGAGTATTGTTTTACGCCAATTTGTACAATAATCCAGCAATATCACGGCGGGGTCACCAGAAATGGGCCTCTCTCATTGTACCCATGTCGGGAATCGAACCCGGGTCTTCGGCGTGACGAGCGAACGCTTTAACCACCCGACCGCCGTGGACGCACAGAAACATATAATTATAATTTTACCAACAAGTATACTTACGTTTTGTTGTTGCTGAATACATGCAAAAAGAGAGGAAACATTAGAGATCATTTTGGAATACACTGTATGTTTATGTATTCATTAACAATTTATATCATTGACACTGCAAGTTACTCTCAAGTTAGACTGTCTGGGTTCAGGCAGTAGGTTCAATGGACAACTGGGTTCAAGAGATTGAAATATTCAGCAAAGAATCGACTCATACCTTCCGAGTTATTTTAGTTCGTAAAAATGCACAGTACCTGGGATAGCTGTTCCTTGAACTGTCAAAATAAAAAATATATATAATCATGACTTTATAAATTTCCTGTATAAATAGGACATATCAACGCCAGAGAATAGCCAGTCTCGATTATCCGAAGAAAGAGATTCCATAGGTTGGAGAAGGCAAAATAGCAGTGAAACGTATATGAAAGTATCACTGAAGATGAAACCAACACAATTCAACAGTACCTTAAACACGTTTCGATCATACGAGATACATAGTTTTGAAAAAGCACAAAGTCATGTTTTGATGCAAATATTCCCATACCACCTACCAGCGCACGTTGTCTGCTGTAGCTCGTTCTGAATGGTTTTGAGGGCATCGAAGTTGGTGACGGAGAAGACGTGCTTAGCGTCGCTGGCGATGTTGGCAAGTTCCTGATGGTTTACTCCAACGCCTATACCGATAGCCATAACCTCCACGCCAGCCTTGTGCAAGATGTTAGCCTGCCGTATTGTCTGTAGACAGAGGGAACACGAGGGGTTATTGTCTGTGGACAGCAGGGAGCAAGATGTTATTGTCTGTAGATAGAAGGGGCCCAAGTAGTTTTGACTGTGACAGGGGTCATAAGGATTTATTATCTGTAGACAGAGGGAACACGAGGGGTTATTGTCTGTGGACAGAAGGGGAGCAAGATGTTATTGTCTGTAGATAGAAGGGGCCCAAGTAGTTTTGACTGTGACAGGGGTCATAAGGATTTATTATCTGTAGACAGAGGGAACACGAGGGGTTATTGTCTGTGGACAGCAGGGAGCAAGATGTTATTGTCTGTAGATAGAAGGGGCCCAAGTAGTTTTGACTGTGACAGGGGTCATAAGGATTTATTATCTGTAGACAGAGGGAACACGAGGGGTTATTGTCTGTGGACAGAAGGGGAGCAAGATGTTATTGTCTGTAGATAGAAGGGGCCCAAGTAGTTTTGACTGTGACAGGGGTCATAAGGATTTATTATCTGTAGACAGAGGGAACACGAGGGGTTATTGTCTGTGGACAGAAGGGGAGCAAGATGTTATTGTCTGTATATAGAAGGGGCCCAAGTAGTTTTGACTGTGACAGGGGTCATAAGAATTTATTATCTGTAGACAGAGGGAACACGAGGGGTTATTGTCTGTGGACAGAAGGGGAGCAAGATGTTATTGTCTGTATATAGAAGGGGCCCAAGTAGTTTTGACTGTGACAGGGGTCATAAGGATTTATTATCTGTAGACAGAGTCGTCGATTAAGATACACTACTTTACAATATCTCCAGGTAGTTGTTATAGGAATCATATTAAATTTCATCAGTAATGTTAAAATGTTTTACATTGAATAATAATAATTAGTCTTTTATTTACAATAGATCGATTCGTGGACTGCCCATCAGTGATGACGATCACGATCTTGGCAGCAGAAGGTCTAGCACCGTGAGCCGTCGTCAACGTCATCTTGTTGACGTAGCGGAGGGCTTTGTCGGTGTAGGTGACGCCCGAGTGGTACTTGACGTTCTTGATGGCGGCGAGCAGGGCAGCCTTGCTGGCGTACTTGTCAAGGTCGAACTGAGGATACACGGCAGTTGAGAAGACAACGATGCTGAACTGCACTGCCGTGGAGCTCACGTCAAACTGGTCCACGAAGTTCTGGACGAATGTAACCTGTTTGTTGAAGTTAGTAGGTCCTTCACTCACAGAAGAGTCGAGGACGAAGACGATGTCGGCAGCGGAGGAGGCGCAAACTGGAGCAGGTGTCATGCACTTGTTAGAGGGTCACAATGCATCAATATTTATGTAACATGAGCACTATGAGAGTGTGATTGATTGATTTAACGATGGTTTGAACAGTATTTCAGTAATATGGGTGTCTCAGACGCTAACCACGTGGGGGATCACACGACGGATCATAGACGTTTACCCATGAACATGGATATGGTGCTGACAAACCCCAAAGACACAATCAAGGTGAACCAGGATTCGAACCACGACCACAGATGTCTGGAATGCCTTAGCTGCACAAATCGGCACAGGGATTTATAGTGCCTAAGACCATGGGGCCACCCATACAACTATATATACTATAAAGCTGTGTCACAGTGCAATTGTTGTGGATTATGTGTTAACACGTCAACATTATACCGACAGCTACTTGAGTGCCAGTACATAAATAATGAAACCGGTGTAACACGTGCCCTATAGCTTAAATACCCATGTAGGGAATAACCTACTTCTATTGCCCGGGCCAAGTGATCACCAACTAATCCCCCAGGTACCCATCTCTGCTGGTTGAATGCATCATTGTCAGTTGTGACGACGCATTGATATGACTCTATGATAGTAGGGCATCAACAATGAATCAATCACCAGGAAGCCCAAATATTAATATTCCATTTCCCAAAGCGTAATACATTTCAGAGTACATCAGGTTTATAATATATGCATTGTTAACCCACAACCTATTTCACACTGTATACGACATTTAGTAGTTCATGCTGATGTAATGGAAAGGAAATGCCTTACCAAGCTTGTTACCTGTAAAGAAAAGTAACATGTCATTAATATCATCGTTTAAACGTCAATGATATCCGCTCAGACCTATCTTCTCACAAGCAGTATACTTTAACACAATTATTGGCAGCCTTGTTGAATCCTGAGATGATTAACTGAATCTAATTGTGATCGAGAGAGTGAGTTTATACTTGCTTTCGCATTCGCCCAGTAATCTCATGCGGAAATCACCAATAATTGACAGCCAAATACTTTTAATGCCTTCCGAAATTATTTTATGTGCAGATGTGTCTGCAATCTAAGGTGATGAAAAATCCAGATCTTTGGCTTCTAGACATATTAAATATGTTCTCATTCAAACAAGTTTGGAAACACCCATGTTTTTGTATGGGACATAAAAAGACGAAATTCAATCGACAGATAATAATGTTTGTAACAGTAAACATCCAATAGCGATCAAGTATGAACGTCGAATGGTGACATCTGTGAACAAGGTAACTCAGACATTACCTTTAAAACCTGTATTGTCTTTTCATAAAGTCACAAGAATGACAATGATGACAAGAACGTGTATGACCACCCTGGAAGTGGCCAAAGAATATCGTCCCTATAGCGAAGACCTGTCAGATTTCCATTGACATGATAAAGTGGGCTTCTGTGATTCAAACTGAAGCCTTCCGATACCATCGCAGCGCCCACCAAACCAGTCCCGCTCTCTGACTGTGGCATCCTGAAACTGTTCTCTGCAGCGGAACACTCTCACACGACCATTATTGAAGTCCATGCAGAAACGAGACTCGTCTGTGAGCACACCTTCCTATTCCAGCAGAGATGAGCTCGACACCATGAGAGACGTGCGGTTCTGTAACGTGCCAGTGGAGGTGGTCTTACAGCTGGACCCCTGGAGTTGATACCAGCAGCTCTGTTCCTGATAGTATGTGCACTGACATTCGTATGCGTGGCTGCCCTCAGATGAAGTACCAATGGTCTTGCTATCGTGAACATTTAGCGTAAAGCTGCCATAAATAACATGACAGCCCCCAGCAATGGTGGTTGATCTTGGTCTGCCTGAAGGAGATCGATCCTTGACTTCTCCATGGGCCTGGAACCTGTGCTACAGGTGATGGAGAAGAGAAGGTGCATTTTGGAGCCCTCTGGCAGGTTGTCTGATGGCTTTTCCACCTTGCAGCCATGCGATGACTCTTCATTTGTCAACTTGACTTAATGGGGCGGCCGGGTAGCCTAGTGGTTAAAGCGTTCGCTCGTCACGCCGACGACCCAGGTTCGATTCCCGACATGGGTACAATGTGTGATGCCCATTTCTGGTGTCCCCCGCCGTGATGTTGCTGGAATATTGCTGAAAGCGGCGTAAAACTATACTCACTCACTCACTTGGCTTAATGGTCGTCTTGATGCCATGGTGCTTAAACCAATGCAATGACAGGATTCAGCAGTATCAACTTTGATACCCAGCATATCCACAGACATCATGGAAAGGATGTGCATTGTTGTATTTGGATGATGCTTTCCTCCTTATCCTGACATCTGACATTGACAAAGTTTAACCCAAAAACTGTTCTTGTGACTAGTCTCCCAAACACAACGACAAATGTTGGCCAGACAAAAATCATACTGGAATTCGAGGCACGGGATGTCCAGTTCTTGGTATGTTACCAACAGCATTAAATTGAGTGTATATTGCAAGAACTGCGGCTACATGAATGTAGAATGGTGCAATATGTGGGTGTTCCTATCCTGGTTTGAATGAGAATATATACCTTTGATATTTAGTTGGGCTACGATAATGGTGTAACACTTATATTGTATAAACATGGAGCACATGGTTTTGCGTACATGACTTCTGCTGTAGCTCTTTCTCGATAGTGTGCAGCGCGTCGAAACCTGCCACCTGAAATAACCAAACATATTTAAAGCTGTCAACTACGATGAGACGGCACTTGCTATACAATGCATAGGGGAGAGGAGTGAGTGAGCGAGTGAGTGAGTGAGTATGGTTTTACGCCGCTTTTAGCAATATTCCAGCAATATCACGGCGGGGACACCAGAAATGGGTTTCACAAATTGTACCCATGTAGGGAATCGAACCTGGTCTTCGGCATGACAAGCGAACGCTTTAACCACTAGACTCCCCGACCGCCCTTGGAGAGGGGAGGGAGGGAGGATGGTGAGTTCTGTACAAGATGACTGTAAATCATTAATTCTAAAATATCTGACATTCATCAATGTGCAGAGTACATCACTTCCAGACCCGTTGCTATGTTTGTTTTGTTATAACCTTTTACATATGCTACCAGGTTTCTGAGATTAAATAGGTAAATTGACTTTCCCCTGGCCACAGTAAAATTCAACATACCATGAAGACATGTTGTTTGTCGCTTGCTATGCTGTTTAGTTCTCTGGGGCGGATTCCAGTACCTATCCCCACGGCTATGACCTTGACGCCTCTGTCATGCAACAGCTTGCCTTGCTCCTTCGTGGATAAGATGTTCTGGGACTGACCGTCGGTCATCACAATCACTACCTGACGGGCATTAGTCCGGGCACCATGGGCAGCACTGGAAGGGATGGGATGGATGAGAGAAATTGTGATAGTGATAGAAAGAGGGAGATATACAGTAATAACAGAGTGAGTGAGTGAGTATGGTTTTACGCCGCTTTTAGCAATATTTCAGCAATATCACGGCGGGGGACACCATTGTACCCATGTCGGGAATCGAACCCGGGTCTTCGGCGTGACGAGCGAACGCTGTAACCACTAGGCTACCCGACCGCCCCAGAAATAATAGAGAAGGAAGAGATATAGTGACATAAAGAGAGGGAGACAAACAGTGATAGAGAGAGAGAAAGATAGAGCGAGAGAGAGAGAGATAGAGCGAGAGAGAGAGAGAGATAGAGCGAGAGAGAATGAGAGAGAGAGAGAGAATGAGAGGGCGATAGAGGGTGAGAGACAGAAATAGTGACGGGAGGGGGATTGGAGGGATGATACATAGTGACATAGAGAGATTGATATAGTACTAGGCAGAGAGAGGAAGAGGGGAGAGGGCAAGCGATAGAGGACGTGCGAGTAGTAGGAGGTGATAATAGAAGGTGAGAGTGACACTTCCAAAAGTACAAGTGAAAGTTGAAAAGTGGAGAGTTATGAGTACAGGTACTGGTTCAGATTTACCTGAGAGAGTTCGTCCGGATAAACTCCAATCCGTCGCCAGTGTCTGTGGTACCTCCAATGTAGGGGATGCTGGTGATTGCAGCTTTTAATGCTGCTTTGCTGTTGTAGTCGTTTAGGAAGAAGCGATTGTGGACAGCTGTTGAAAAGGTGACAACACCGATCTTCACGTTATCAGGACCAATGTCAAAGCCGTCGACGAAGTTGCTGACAAAGTCGAGTTGCTTCTTGAAGTTGATGGACCCCTCGCTTGAGGATGAGTCCAGGAGGAACACGATGTCAGCAGGATCAGACTTGCATGCTGCAGGAGCCAGAACAAAATGTAAACTGCTCAGTTACGGTATTGTTCTTGAAATGAAGCATGTCCCTGTTTACAAATAGCTGGATATGACATTTATAGAACAAAGGTTGTCTTGCAAGGTACTGTCATATTCCCTCCAGATTTCCCGGTGGTCTGTTGTCAGTGTTTGATTTAACGAGTTGTTTTTTTAAGTTGACGGAACCCTCGCTGGTGGATGAGTCCAAGAGGAATACGATGTCAGAAGGGTCAGAAATACTTGATGTTCGCGGCAAAGTACACTTTCATAAAACCAACATGCTTCTGACAAACGACGGTTTATTTTCTGGACAAATCTGGAATTGTAACCCATGACCAACGGATCATGTCACGGCTTATGAACTCAACTCTACCAAGGAAGACGAACAGACTATTGAACCAGCGGTGCCCCTGTGTGCGCCATAAACGTTAAGGTGAAAATAGGTAATGTTTAACCACCATAAGATGCTAAATTGTGAGCATAAATATGTTTTACGTGATAGCCATGAACTTCAATTTCTTTTTTTGAAATGCATTGACCACATGTTAATAGAAAATTATTATCTCTTCAAAAATGTCACTTACCTGTTTGTGGAGCCTTACCTGCAGAAACAACAAGAGTTGAATTTTATAATCTGCAACAATAACTGTCTTATCTGAATTTATATACTGGAACTGAATCCACAAATGTCTCGGTATTTCAAAAATGTTTCGCACTTTTTGCATATGATTTCAAAATGTCGTTGACCAACTACCGATATGCTTAAGTGTCCAATATTAACATGGACAAATCAGTCTGGATTAATACAAACTTACACAGTCTCTCATATCTTGGTGGTGGCTAACAACTATTCTGCATGGAGTGTCTTGTATCTGGTTCTAGGTTAACAACCACTTGAATCTATTTGGGTAAACGTACATATAGTTTCACATACATGAAGTTTGGTTAACTTAGAACATACTTACACAATCTTACATTCTAGTATCTCGGTCTTGGTTACTGACCATCTTACACGTAGTTTCTAGTATATCGAAAAGGTTAAACTCAATCTTACATGTGGTCTCACGTATATCTGTCTCGATCTTCTGCAGAGCATCAAAATCTGACACTTTGAACACGAAGGAAGGATTACTGGCAAGAGCCGTGAGTTCTCCGTTGTCGATCCTCGCACCGATTCCCACTGATATGACCTTGATACCGGATTTATGGAGCTTCTCCGCTTCACTGGCTGTGACTGACTTGTGCCGAGATTCACCATCAGTGACGACAATGACCACTTGTTGAGCGTCGGGGCGGCCGCCATGTTGTGGTAGAAAACTGTTCGCCCCAACAAACTTGAGTCCCTTTCCTGTTTCCGTCAATCCCGGGCGGTACTGCACCTTCTGAACTGCCTGTTAGGAATAACGTTGTTGAGGCCAAATGAACATCATGATGTTTGCCTGACATCATCCACTACCAACCTCTGCCTGAGCCTAATTTTGTTTTGTATATCAATTGCATTCTACATTAAGTAGCATCATGGCTACCTTTTGTGTTATTCCGAAGTCACGTTTTGATGTACCACGTCATGGCGACTAGCAAGATGTTTTGCAAGTCAATGAAAGCGACAGAGCAATTTCTAGAATGATAAGACATCCATTGTTCGTAGTACGATTCCGACAACATCATAAGCATGTGTGCATGAATTACTAACACTTGGTAGTGATGATACTAGGTGTTCGCGGAAATGTGGTCGAATCCTGCCCAACTGGAGGCACCCGTCACAAACACACGCAAAGGCGAATCAGTTTACTTGAACAAACATGGGAAGGTATAGCACAAATCCAAATAGGGAATGGCATCAGACATTATTTTGGTCACTGACGCGACAAATTTGGAAATCTCATCCACGTGTCAAGAAAGGCTGCAAGGTTTTGAAACCACCGAATGGCGATTTGGTACAAATGTGAACTGTGATAAGAAACAATTTTTATTTATTAACATAAGGTATATATGAACACACGTGTTTTTATTCTGTGCAGTCATTGGTATCTTTTACATAAGGTATATATGAACACACGTATTTTCGTTCTGTGCAGTCATTGGTATCTTTTAAAGATGACAAAGAACTTAATAGTATTATTATCCATAAATTTACCTGAAATATGAAGGGAGTTTTATCTTAAATTTATGTAATACTTTCTTTTAGACCCCAAACAATTTGAGAACAAAAATTAACAATCTTCTATTTTTAGCAATCTTAAATAAAATCTCCGCGTTGATAATAAAGTGTATTACAAAAAAACAACAGTTTTAGTAAAGTAAATGGAAGAAATTCATGAACACTTAATAAAAACGACCTATATGTTACAGCTGCATCATACAAATGTCATCCGAAAAGCTCCTTTCTTCTATCATCCCAACATGAAGCTGGGTTCTTGAAAATTCCTTTATAATTAAATAATACTATTATAGTAGCTATATTTTAAATAAACATAAAAAGCATACAGGTAGAATCAAAATGAACTTTCCACGGAATCTACCAAGGACACCCAAGCATCAAAACTACATCAATTAATATTCCTCCCATTTACTCACGTTGAGCAGATCGGCTTTTGAGTTAAAGTTGTTCAACCAGAACTCATTCTTGACGTTAGTCGCAAACGTGACGACACTAAGCTGCACGTTGTTGGGCCCGATGTCCAGCTCGCGGGCGAAGTTGTTGACGAAGTCCAGCTGCTTCTTGAAGTTGTCTGACCCTTCACTGACAGATGTGTCCAACAGAAACACGACATCTGCCGGCCGTGAGCTGCACGCTACGACACAGGTATTAAATGAGACTTTTGTACCGAATATATTTCTGATTCTGAATTTAGAAAACATTCGATTCTGATTGGTCAGTCAGACGTTTCAAATGACAATAACCACCTCTGATTGAAATAGTTGATTTGACGACCGCATCAACGCAGAAGCTAATATTTATAGAAAAGAACATCTTTCTCTATCAGTGTCGATTTGCGTTTTGAAATAATGTGGTGTACAATTATAGGTCACAAAATATATGTAGAGTTACAGTTAGTGCAATTTTCAAAGTATATGTGGCAATTATCTCCTAACTAACACCCTGTCTCGTTGAGTTTAAATCCTATGCTCCACTGTCTAGAGCCCATTTCCAGGTTAGTTCAAGATGCATTCAACACTAATGCCTTGTATGATACTGAACCTTCGTCTCTGTTTACCAGAGGAAATCATTAATAGCTAGATTGATAAACATAATTTCAGTTGTCAAAGTCAACACGTAGTAAGAATCAATGTTTCAAATTCACACTGTGGTAACATACTTACATTTACCATTTCCTTACATATAATGAACACGTACCCGTTTGTGCTGAAAATAGAACGAGACGAGAGCATAAGTAAGCGTTCGCTGTATCGGTGTTTGTCTGATTGCGTCATAAGTCATGTGACTGTGACATTGTTTGAGGTATCTAGATCGAAGAGAGATTATTGACTGAAGGTTAATTGAGGTTGACGATGGGTTTTCCGAAACATGGCTATTTAGAAATAGTCCGGGGACACAAAGAATGGGATTCACATGTACGCACCCAGGGAATCGAATCGGCATGACGAGTCCGCGCTATAAAACTAATGGGCTATACCACTTTCACTTATTCAATGTTAAATTATTTTCGAATAGTTTTTTTTCTATAATGGGTTTTATCTTCTAACATTATGTATTTGTTTCTGCTTACTTTTACATGTCTGACTTTGGATCTCTTTCTCGATGGTGTGCAGGGCGTCAAAGTTGGCCACGGCGAAGGCGTTCTGGTCGCCGTCCCCGGAGGCGATGTCTTTGATCTCCTGTTGGTCAACGCTGTTACCGATGCCGATGGCGATGACCTGAGTTCCGGCGTTGTGGATGCTGTTGGCTGCTGCCTTGGTCTGTGTTTTATCTGACGACTGGCCGTCGGTGAGGATGATGATGAGGTGGTTAGAGTTGTTCCGGGCACCATTAGCTGCTGTGAACGCTGTCTGGGCGAACCTGTGTGTATATATATACGTCTGTTTGTCTATTTGCTGTTTAACACCTCACAACATCAATGATACCCATTAAACCCTGTCACCGAGCCTGGCCACCCGATCACCTCTCACGACAAGCCTATGTTGCATTTTCTAAGCCAGAATCCCAGTGGGTTTAGAGGGGCGGTCGGGTAGCCTAGTGGTTAAAGCGTTCGCTAGTCACGCCGAAGACCCTGGTTCGATTCCCGACATGGGTACAATGTGTGAAGCCCATTTCTGGTGTCTCCCGCCGTGATATTGCTAAAAACGGCGTTAAACCATACTCAATCAATCAATCAAACCATAGGTTTAGACGGTTTTAACAAAGCTATATTCTACTATCCTATCGCATGATCAATGCATCCAAACGGAGGGTGGAAATATATTGATTACAATGATCCGACGTCACATTGTTTCTTATTTGCATTTTACTGATTTATGGACGTTAGAAAAGCTACATTTCACCATTGGACCGGACATAGGTTTAAATTATTTTCAGGAATTTCAGGAGTATTCTGATGCGTTCCAATTGTTCCAAAAAATAAATGCATTGTCGCAAATGATTAAAGATTGCATTGTCACTTGTAAATGTCCACACAAACAATTTTATTTGATCCAGTGGTGGAGTTAGTGAGTTAATGTCCCCAATTCAGATGAGAAAACACATAGTTTTCTCAATTTTCTCAGTTAGAAGACTAATGGCAATATAAAGAATATCTTCAGTTGTATTCACTTTGGACAGATAATACGTAATGCCTCATGGCTCGCAGGTAATTCTCCGAGTGTATAACTCACTTAAGCGCAATTTCCGTGTGCGTATTGCCAGTCCGATATTTGACCTTGTCTATGGCATTCATTAGATCTGTACTATTGTCGTAGTCGTTGAACCAGAACTCGGACATTGTCGTGGTGGAGAATGTCGCCAGTGCGATCTGGACGGCGTCAGGGCCGATGGTGAAGTCCTTCGTGAAATTCTTTATAAAGTTCAGCTGCTTATCAAAGTTGTTAGTTCCCTCGGAAGCGGAAGCGTCCAGCAGGAACAAGATGTCGGCGGGGGTTGATTTGCATACTACAGGAAGGGGAGACAATCAGCAAAACATGAGTTATATCTCAATGTTTCGCAATCTTTATGTAAATGTCTCTTATATATGACTGTATAAATTGTGTTGTTATTGTGCTTATTATTTAAAGGAATACCCAGTTTTTACAGAGCTTGGTTTGTACAATGAATACACTGTGTTCGGTATCGTAAACCATTACCAGCCCGTACACCATTAAACATGCAACGAATCTTTTTTTATCATCGCGGGTTCACACCGTTCGTGACCAACTCGTGTTTTTTTCCGGGAAAGGCCGAATAGCGACTCGTGCCCCTATCATGGCCATTTTTGCGACCGGGTTCCGTCTTAGCGGAAACGGGCATACCTGAAACAATTGTCAACTCGTTGCGTAATGGTTCACGTTTATTTCCCAATATATTATATAAATTTCAGATGCAATTTAAAGCACATCGGGACATACGGAATTATACAGTATGATTGAACACATTTAACTGTGTCTTGGGTATATTTTAGATGCAAGACATATGTAAAATCAGAAATTATGTCTGAGGGATTCTTTGACGAAGTACTTGAAATCATAAGCCCATTCTGATTGGTTTGTCGTATTTTCGCGCATAACATTCATCGATAGGGGGACGAGTCTTGTTGCTGGTTACGGAAAGGGGCGAGTGGTGACGAATGGGATACACACGTTCAGGGAATTTTTTGTGTGTTACAAATGATCTATTAAGTCAAACTTTTATCGAAGTTGTGACGTAACAAGCAAGTGGCGTCAAACATTATGACGTCCGAAAAAGCCGGCCAGCCCACATGTTCGGCTTTTGACAAGACAGCGACTGGCCAATCAGGTAGCTAGATTCTGTAATTACCGATGAGATTGACATTTACACCATTGTCTCCTTGACACTATCGTTTAATATTTGGTGATGGGAGACGGTGATGAAAGGAGATAATACTTACATAATCCCTGGGCTGCATGGAAATGAGAAAAAAACAACAACAAATTAGTCACCATCAACTCTATAAGTATTATATAACAGTGTATATCAAAACAGCATCGTTTCAATCACAGAATTCATTAACTTCAGATACTAAAGACACTGTACAAAAAAACATTAAAGACTATTCAGTGTCTTATATATGGTTTCGATATTTTCAAAATGTGTTTAAGAACACTAAGAACTTTCGTGGAGTACTGTCGTCATTCTCCGAGTTATATGTAAAGGATTGAATGATTGATTGAGTGACAGGGTAATGGTTGGTTTGTTGTTTTACGCCGCACTCAGCAATATTCCAGCTATATGACGGCGGTCAGTAAATAATCGAGTCTGGACCAGACAATCCAGTGATTAATATCATGAGCATCGATCCACGCAATTGGGACCGATGACCTGCATCAACCAAGTCAGCCAGCCTGACCACACGATCCCGTTAGTCGCCTTAAAATTACGGCAAGCATGGGTTGCTGAAGACCTGTTCTACCCTGGAACTTCAAGGGTCGACAGGGTAAAAGAGTGAGTGATAGCGTAAAAGAGTGAGTGAGTGAGTGAGTGAGTGAGTGAGTGAGGGAGAGCCATTGACGATGGAAACAGTTGCAATATGGACCACAGGATGACTTGAAACATACTGATAGAAGACAGATACATTTTGACGGCGGCAGATGTTGTGTAAACATATTTCATATAATCTTACTGGTGCATGTCTTTTGGGACACCTCTTTCTCAATGCTGGCCAGGCCAGTAAAGTTAGCCACTCTGTATACGTGCTTATCGTCGGTGGCGATGGTGTCGAGTTCGGAAGGGGAGATGTTGTCGCCAATGCCGATGGCGATGACTCGGATGTTGGTGTTGTGGATCTTATTAGCAGCCTCTGCAGTGTTGGTTGACTGGGTTGAGCGTCCGTCAGTCAACACAATCAAGATCTTGTTGGAGTCGTTTCGTCCGCCGTGGGTAGATGAGAAACTCTCATTCAAGACAAAATCCAGCCCTTTGTCGGTGGCAGTGTTGCCAGTTCTGCAAGAGAATGGAAAGGCATTGCCAATAAAATCGATAATTGATCAGGATGTTTACTTAAAGAAATAATACTTTGAGTTGGGATTATAGTTATCAATGAAATACAAAGTTAATATCCGCATACTGTTTTTTCCCCTGAATATCTGATTCATTGAAACGTTGTCATTTTAGGTGATTAAAAGATCCACTGATTGTGGGTTCGAATCCCAGATTCGACCTTTTTATCCTTGGTTGCAATCACAAACCCGTTTCCACAAAGTTTTAAACCTCAAAGACCTGCGTCATTCTGGGCTTTCTTCCACAGTAAACTGACGTGTTATAACGCTGTACAGAAAACTATGATTACGGATTCGAATCCCGGTTCGCCTCGATTTTGTGTCTAGGTTTGTCATCACCATACCCGTGCTCGTGGGTTTCACCAAAGCGGTAAACGTCTGAGACCAGCATTACTTCAGGCTTTCCTCCCATATTAAGCTGACACGTGAAATAACTTGAATACTGTTAAACTGTTTAAACCCAACCAAATCACTCACTCACCCACTATTTGCATTTAAAACATAACCTACTGAGGTCCCTTATATCTGATTACATCAGTTGACATAAATTGACAGTCTGATCTATTTACATGTATTTTGTGCTGTTGATGGCGTCGATGACGGCGGTCTTGTTCTCATACTGGTCAAGCCAGAACGCGTTGTGGACGTCTGTAGAGAATGTGACCACACTCACCTGAAAGAGGAAGTGTATCAGCGCATGATAATAACTCATGTATAATATTCATATTCGAAAGTAAAGATTATGGATAATTATATTTTTTTATTTATGTTTTGCTAAAAAGATCGTTCTAACGGGTTGCAGAGTTACGCCCCTTAGTGCCTCTGTGGATCCGCTGGTCGTGGGTTCAAATTCCAGCATATCATTTTGTTTTGCCAGCACCAACATAGAAGTTTCATATTGTTTCACCAACATAGAAGAGGTGTACGACCTTCGTTACGTTGAAGCATAACTACGGGTGATGAACCGGTCTTGCGATCAACGAGCTGGTGATTCTTTGGTTTCTTTGTTGTTTAACGCCGAATATTCCAGCTATATGACGGCGGTCTGTAAATAATCGAGTCTGGACCAGACAGTCCAGTGATTGACATCATGAGCATCGATCCACGCAACTGGGATCGATGACATGCATCAACCAAGTCAGCGAGCCTGACCACCCGATGCCGTTAGTTGCCTTTTACGACAAGCATGGGTTGCTGAAGACCTATTCTACCCCGGAATCTTTACGGGTCAGCTGGTGATTCACAACGCTCATGTACCATATGTGAAACGAAACATCAGAATGGCAATGGCAGACCTGGCAGAACTTTCAGGTCACTGGAAATATGTAAGTATTAGATTGAAAAGAGCGGGGAGTGGGCAAGACTCGAGATAATAGTCAGTCCCGGGGGGTTTGCCTCAAGTCGTCGAAAGATTACTTTACGGTCTGTTAATTCGGATGTTTTGACATGGAGTGTAACTTTAAGATTTCCACACAGACGCAATGTATCAGTTCACACAAGGAACTAATTTCGATGGCAAGAACTTTACAATGTGCAAAGTCTCCCCTTGAGGTATTCAAACACCTACTACATTTTTTGTGTTTACATAGGTGTTCTACAGGATATATAACATAGACATGATGGTGATAGGGACTGTGTGAGTGGGCACCTGAACTGCATCGGGTCCAATGTGGAACTTGTCCGCAATGCTTGTGATGAACTGAAGCTGTATCTTGAAGTTGGCCTCTCCCTCGCTACCAGACGAATCCAGCAGAAACACAAGGTCCGTTGGCTGAGAACGACATTCTGGGGGAATATGAGCAATAAACCCCTCGCCTTGGATATGCACCGCAGAATAACATGTTTCATGAAATCAATAGCAACTGTTTCAGCAGTTAACACACTTACAACATACCTCATGGAATATTATGTTTATTATGCTGTGTTTGGTAGATCTTTGTCCCTAGGAGAATTCCATGTTATGATGATCAGCGAACACTAGTGGGAAGAGAATGTCCCTCCTGGATCTTATTTTCCCATAACAAATGAGACCTTAATGAGGCTGATGTAAAAGGAAAACATTTAATGCATTGAACGTCAATTTCAAGTACTAAAAATAGGACATATATTTTTTTCATAATCACTTAAATTATGGTCCTGTTTCTGTCTGTTTTAACCTCATATTTAAATCTAAGCTTTTATTGTACTCTTTATATTATAAGTTAATATATAAATATTGTGTATGTGTGTGAGAGTTGGGTTTAACGCAGTTTTTAACAGTGTTCAAGTTATATCACGGCGTGTCTCCAAGTCCATAAAACAGTAGGTAAAGTTGTATTATAGTTGCAATAAAGAGCCTACAAAAATTATAGTTGTAATAATTATATATATAAACATATAAATATTAAGTAACCCAGGGCACAAATGCTTGTATGCTTCGATATGTGTGTTTTTTTAATCTGATCATCTATAAACTGATAACTGAATTGTAGTTGGTTGAAACAGATACCATAAAACATTTAAAACACTGTTGTATCTACAAAAAAAATAAAAAATGATCGATTCTTGTACGATTCCTCCATTTATTCTACAATTGGGATCCGACCCCAGGAGAGCTCGGCTCTTTAAAGGGAGACTACTCCACGACCTGGTGCCCATTTCCGATCTAAGAATGATCATTGTAAACAGTACAGCGTTTGCAATTGAAAGATTGTCCCAGTGGAATTAGGGCAACTATTAATAGCTAGATGTATCTACATCCTCACATTACAGTTCGAGTGAGTGAGTGAGTGAGTGAGTGAATGAGTGAGTGAGTGAGTGAGTGAGTGAGTGGGTGGGTGGGTGGGTGGTTGGGTGGGTGAGTGAGTGAGTGAGTGAGTATGGTTTTACGCCGCTTTTAGCAATATTCCAGCAATATCACGGAGGGGGACACCAAAAATGGGCTTCACACTTTGTACCCATGTCAGGAATCGAACCCAGGTTTTCGACGTGACGAGCGTGCGTGCGTGCGTGTGTGTGTGTGTGTGTGTGTGTGTGTGTGTGAATGGTATCACAGAAAATCAGTGATGACACCCGGTGTTCATTGAAAAGGTAAGCATGTCCTGCCCTACCGGTAGCACCCGCCACTCACGCAAGTTGCATACAAAGTTTGTTGACTGACGCCACACAGCAGTACTCCTTGAATAAACTTCTGTTTGGAAGTTGTTTGAAGTCGTAAATTTTATTCACCTGTAATGGTAAGGCTTGGAAAGTTTCGACTCCAGTGAAAACTGTCTCAAGTTAAAGCCACAAATATTAACATATGTAAATGTTTAGGTTTTCATATTGACCAACTGACCTGCGGCGATGTCCTGAAGCTGTCCCGTTACAGACGTTGCCATCAGCAGCATCAGCCTCAGTATAAGATCCATTTTATTTTTGGATGAGAGAGCAGAAAATACCTCTCTACACAATCACAGTCTGACAAATCTCCACATATATTTATCGAGAAATCTATATAAAACCAGATAAAAAGCCTTATCAAATGATCATTTTATCAGATACCATTAGTCACTGCCAATTCCCTACCAATATACTATCTATGTACAGTAAACTACGTTTATAACGAACACGCTTATAACGAACTGACGGATATAACGAATTAAAGTTAGTGGTCACTTTGAGTTCGTTATAACCGTAGTTTACTGTAATAGCAAACCTGTATTTGCCGATTAATTCCTATCCTGACCTCACTAAAATCGTCTGACTGTAGAATTTCATGCTGAATGAATAACTGAAAAATGCATATTTGGACCATGACTGGAGAAAGAAATTAGTTCATCTTGAACACGAAATTGGAGCAGATAAAAATACTTTGTTTGTTGTTTAACGCCGCATTCAGCAAAATTCCAGCTATATGACGGCGGTCTGTAAATAATCGAGTCTGGAACAGACAATCCAGTGATTGACATCATGAGCATCGCATTTGAGATACGATGACATGCATCAACCATGTCAGCGAGCCTGACCACCCGATCATCAGTTAGTAGCCTCTTATGACAAGCAAAGTCGCCTTTTACGGCAAGCATGGGTTGCTGACGACCTATTCTAACCCTGATCTTCACTCGTTGAGAAAAAGTAGTCCGATGACCTTAAACCTAAGTGGTTGAGTATCTGGTACAGAAAGACGAGTTTAGATTTGTTACTGAAAGATGGACACAGGAATTATAACGATGTGCATAACTGTCGGTCAAAAACGTCTCAGTTAAATTTGGGTAACGTTTGCCCGTCATGCCTATGGCCTAACATTGGTAAAATATGTGACCATTCTCGTTGTTCCCCGTTTTGATATGGCAGGGATATTGCCTAAATAAAGAATACTAAACGAACTCCCGTGTAATACCAATTTTATGAAACGAGTGAATAGTTATTGTATTTGACGAGCGAAACTTGCCATTTATAACTCTTTTTTCCAGACTTTAACTGTCGTGTATGAATAGGCAAACACCTACACGGTCAACAATGTAATCCAATTGAGTTGATTGTTATCCGATCGCCTTGTGGAACGGGCCTTGCACCACAAAGTTTAAAATCACGTCACAATACGCTATGGCGTGATTTGTGGAATTTTGTCGCAAGATCCACCGGCGAAACAATGCCATGTGACGTCAGCCTAGCAATGGAATTGTTTTGGTCATTGAGTGTGCATAAGCTCCTCTCAGTGATCTATCATCTCTTCACGCAATGTCGTTGAATAAGCCAAGCGATGATGATAGCTTTCAATGTTTGTTAGTGGAACTTGTTCCCGCAGTACACAAGCACGCGCTTTGGTATTACACAATGTGTAATACAGCTGTATGTTTATTAAACGGGTGATCTCTTCACGGGCAAGTAATAAAGCGACTTGTAGCAAAGCTGGTTTTGGAGGAGTCTTTGTGTGACATCCTATAGGGCTATCTGGCGTGTAAAGTTATGAAAATGTATTTTACCTAAGCCACGAGGAACCATGCCGGACCTTGCAATTAGTGAGTGAGAGTGAGTGAGTTGGGGTCAACGCCGCGTTTAACAGTATTCCAGTTATATCACGGCGTGTCAGCTTAATGTGGGAGGAAAGCCCGAAGTGATGCAGGTCTCAGACGTTTACCACTTCGGTGAAACCCACGAGCACGGGTATGGTGCTGACAAACCTAGAAACATAATCGGGGCGAACCGGGATTCAAACCCACAATCCTAGGTTTCTGGCGTGGCCAAGGGACGCAACTCTGCACAGCGAATCGCGGCGCCTTAGACGACTGATCCACCCGTGCCCCACCATGCAATGAGCAGAACATTATCAGACATATGCCAAAGAAACATAGAGGCATTATCAAAGTCTGTACAACAGTTGCCTTTACTGTAAAAGTTCTGCTTTTTTATACTATTCAACGTATATTAGTTTTAATGCTTTTAGTAATTTAACCATAAAGCGAAGGGTGACACCACGGGTAGGCATGAATTAGGCGGCGTGAGATGGTGTTCAAGGTTATTGCACTGATATGTGTGTGTGTGTGTGTGTGTGTATGCGTGGGTGCGTGCGTGCGCGCGTGCGCGAGTCTGCTTGTAATTGTCCGAAATAATGTCGATTTTATAGTGCTAGCACACTGAGATAACATGCCACAGTTTAACATGCCGACCTAGTTCAGACACAATATGCTGAATCCGAGCCGACCAGGCCTTGGTTTAATCCCTTGATGCCGAACGCCAGGCATGGCAACTACAAGTACCATTTTAACCGTCTTTTGGTATGACGCGGGCGGGGATCGAACCAGCCACCTTCCACCGACCTAATACTCAAAGGATTTGCTTTGATTTTTGCAGAAAAGCGCCAAGTTCAATTGTGTCAAAACATTTCATTTTTCATTTTTTTCACACGACAAACGTAAACGAAAACGTCATAACTTAACGTGGTGACCATGGATGTAGTACAATATCTATCTTCAATGGTTCGGGACAATTTGTTAAATATGAAAGGAACAGCCATCTTAAGTTTTGCTCAGGAAACGTGAAATACTAGACTTGGACATTGATGACATCTATGCGAAATTTGGAGACATATTAAGGCTAGAAGTAGATCTATACCACAATGAACACTTAATGCGATCCACGCTTTGATGATCTGTTTCTGCAGGCTGAAGAGACCAGTGAAATCGCCTCATCTTTAGATTGACGTTGTAAAGACAAAACCAATCCACATGGCTGCAAGACAAGGGGATGACTTCAACTTTCCAAATGTCGACTTTCTGTTATGTTGAGCCGGTTTCATGCAGCTCAGGACCTTGCTGTCTACATTACACAACTTTTGAGGTCCACCGAGCATATTCTTTGTGCGAAGATTTCAAAGAGCGGCTTACGAATCTTGCTCAAAAGTTGTTTGATCAAGTTACAACATTTAAGGCCTCAGTAAAGCTTTCAAAAGGTCATATGGCAGACATGTGAAGGACATTTCCAAATTTAACGCATCACTGACAAACTGATATCCGATGCAATACCGTATTTAAACTACAGTAAACTACGGTTATAACGAACACGCTTATAACGAACTGACGGATATAACGAACTTACTGTTTAGTCCCGACTATTTGCTGTAATTATGCTTATAACGAACTACGGTTATAACGAACTAAAAATAATAGTCCCTTCGAGTTCGTTATAACCGTAGTTTACTGCAGTACCAATGTTCCCGGGCTTTTCAGGTGAACAGCTGACTTGCTTCTGAATGTGTTTGTGACGGGTGCCGCCTTTTCGCGATGGGGATTCATAAAGACATGCTCATGATATTGTCGGAATAGTAGCAGATATTTCTTATGAATATGGAAAGGTTTTATCGCTTTTAGTTATTATGGTTTTGGTATTAATTATTATTATCATTATGAACAGTTTTTGTCACTGTTTATCCATGTGGAGAATTAAACCCCGTCTTTGTTGTGTTCGATCGTACGCTTTATCCACTAGGGTACTCACCGCCCTTTTCTGATGTGAAGTGTATCTACCAAACTGGTGTACCAACACACAATATCTGTATGTGTACACGTGTATACATGTTTAGCTCTTTCACAATATTAAAATACACCCGACAAAAACCATTACCACTGTTTGATAGTGATTCATAGTCGGAATCGTACAATCGACTCTGCTTTTAGCACAGATTTCTATTGAATATGGGACCGCCTCCGTGGTCTAATGGTAGAGCGTCCGCCCGGAGAGCGGAAGGTCCGGGGTTCGATCCCAAGCCGCGTCATACCAAAAGACGTTAAAAGATGGTACTTGTTGTTACCCTGTCTGGCGCTCGGCATTAAGGGGCTAAAACAAGGACTGGTCGGCTCAGTGTGCTAGCACTATAAATCGGCATCAGTCTGGACTAGTACAAGCACATACACGTGCATGCACGTCGCTATATAAGTGCAACAATCTTGGACGCGACGTTAAACCCCATTTTACCTCACCTCTAAAGAAGCATGGGGCACAACTCTGATTCGACCCGTGAACATCAGGGTAAGAATAGACCTCAGCAACCCATGCTTGCCGAATAATCTTTGACGCGACGTTAAACCCCATTTCACCTCACCACCTCACCTATTGAATATGGAAAGGTTTTTGTGGCTTATATTTACAATACTGTACACGTGATTGAGTTAAGATTTAACGTCACATCGGCAATATTTCAGCAATATTGTGACTACAATACTGTACAAGCAATGGCAGACGACATCTGGTGCAAGATAGGAAGTCCTTATTTTTATCCAACACTCTGACAACTCTCACACCCGTGAGTAAAGCGACTCAGCAGATAAGGCATGACAACGTAAAGAATCAGGTTATCTGAGCCGGGTAAGTGTGTGAGCGTTGGGCGTCTCTGTACAATATTCACCTGTTTCTGTTACATTAGGGCAGCCTGTTGCAAGTGTCCAGGGCTTTCTTATATGTTGAAGTTTTCAATTTAGATTATATCAGAGACCATATACCAAGGGTACAGACCTCAGTCGTAGATTATCATTAACGATCACTGCCGCCCCCATTGTGTAATTGATACATTGGGACCCCCTGCTGCATTTCTCCTGGCAGCTATGACGATGCACGACACATGCGCAGATGCTCTTATCAGAGGACTTCCGTAGTCTAGTGAACAACCTTACGTAATATTTATACGCTGAGAGTTAATTCCCCTTGCTTCCCCTCAAGCGCACATGCTGACATACACTGGTATTTCGAGTATTAGGCGAAGCGGAGTAAAAAACTACATCGTATCGCTTCAGGGGAACGAACATTTCAATTATGTTTCCTTTTTTGTACTTCTAGGCATTTTGGTCTATGCAGAGATTAGCATTACCGTGTGTATTTGTCTCGTAAACCAAAGTCTTTGCGTAAACTAAGCCGGAAACACATTTTCTCCAATCTTCCCGAGACAAGGGCTTTAACTGACTGTAAAAATCCACTTCCCACTGGACTTATATAGTCAGTTGACGCTTTTGTCTCAGGAAGAGGATTTTCTCACGGATGGACCGGTGACTCGGTGAGTTGGAGCGATCTGCCGATCAGTGAACACACGACTTCGCCGAAATTAATGTAAACAGTAATGAATGAAGTTTTGAATGAAAATAATAAAATTGATAACTAACATAAGTCCAGATATACAATGTATACAATTGTAACCAGACAGAGAGATAACGGCATTAACATGCATACTTTGTCAAATGACTCCCGCCTCTCTTTGTTTCAAAAGCGGGATGAGAATCTGGTAATTAATTATGGCGTCGTGAACGCCAACAGAAGACGGGGAAGAAAGCATCAGCTTTGTATATCATGGTTAAGTTGATAAGATATTACTTTTGTATTTAAACCAAAACAATTTTGTTCACTGATATTCTAATTAGTTATGATTATGTTTTTAAAGATTATTTTGAAAATGAGTGAATTATTTGATCAAATTTATCTGTCGTTCAGCAGAGAAAGTAGTCCAAACATTCCGTCTTCTCAACAAGACGATAATCACTTAAAATATTCGATGTTTTTTCTAAAAAAAATCAGAAGGAGACTTCAAACCTTTTTAGCGTGACTGCATGCACAAAAATAATGGTCAAATGGTAAAATCTACTTTTAGTTTATTATAATTATGTCTTGCCAAGATACATATACCGTAAGATGTGGCGTAATGAAGTGTTGTCCACGAAAAGTAACAAGGTAATAAGTTTAGTGATACTTTCTGATGGACGTCCTTTACAAAACACCTAAATCAAAAACGAAAAACAAACATGCCACTGGAAAGAAATATAATAAATCTTCCGACTGACACCAGTAACTTAGGACTTTGTTTCATATTTAATTATGTTTAATGGAGTAATTTGTACTGGAAAATGGATATATTGTAAATTTCTCGCAGGCCGCCATTTTTTTCTTTTTGTACGATAAAAAATGGGATATAGTATGCTGTTTCTGTTCGTTAATTCGGAAGAATGTCAACGTACACATACAGTCACTTATATGTTATAAATGTCCTTTAACAAATCAAGAAAACTAACATAACTCAACATTTATAATTAAGTAAAGGTTTGGGGAAGTGGATGCGTAGCTGAGAGGTTAAAGCGTTCACTCGTCACGCCTAAGGCCGGGGTTCGATTCCCCACATGTTGGGTACTGGTGTCCCCCGCCGTTATATTGCTGGAATATTGCTAAAAGCGGCGTAAAACCATACTCACTCCCCCACTCACTCGTTTATCTGGAGATATGTTAATCGGAAAGATAAAGTTAGGTTTCACAAGAATTCATGTTGATCCTGTCTACAAAACACAAAAGCATGCATTTAAATCTTTATATTTCTTTCAAATTTTACACAGCTATGGCTTCACGTGGTGTTTATGGCATCGTTGTGGTCAGGGGTAGTCCGGCATCTGAAGACGTAGACAAGGCAGGTTACATAGAAAAGGCATATGATTCTCTAGTAGTTATGAATGCCTATAGATCAGGAATTTGATGTCAGTTGACAAGCTTTATTTCCCCAAATATTACTTAACGTTAATACAGTCACCGGATGAGTTAATATTAAGCGTAGCATTAGCAACATTTCAACCACATGCCACTTCTTTATCACAGATTGTCAATGGCAATTAAAATATCCACTTGTTCTCTGAATGCAAGAACGTACGGATATACGAAAAGTACAAGCTTTCTAGGCCAACAATGCTACCACATATATACCAACATGTGTCGTGGGTTCGAATCCCGGTTGTGGGTTTGACCACTCACTCACTCTAAAATACTCAAATGCAAACGCCTTTTTTTAACAACCAATCATCCACAGTATGTCTACACTTTAAACACTTGACGTCGAGCCAATCACCCACCTGTGCACGTTTTCTTCTGAACCTCTTTATGGATGGTCTGCAGCACATTGAAGTCCTTCACCGTGAACACATGTGTCTTGTCCGTCGCCATCCCGTCCAGCTCGGACTGGCGCACCTGTGTCCCCACCCCGATAGTGATGATACTGACACCGTCATTCTTCAAGTTAGTTGCCGCTGTTAATGTCTGAGTCGGCGACATGGACTCTCCATCTGTGATGACAATGACGTATCTCTTGGCGTCAGGTCGAGCACCATGAGTAGAAGTAAAGCCAGTTCCACGAGCCAGAGCCAGAGCCTTGTCGGTGTAGGTGGTGCCGCCCGTGTAGGATATGGAAGCGACTGCCATCTGAAGGGATGCCTTTGTTGTGTGGGAGTTAAGGTCAAACACAAGTGAGGCGGAGGTACTGAACCGGATAGCCCCGAATTGCATGTGATCTGGGCCAATGTCGAAGTCGTTGACAAATTTGGAGACGAAGTCTAGTTCCTTTTGGAAATTTGAACTCCCCTCACTACTGGAAGCGTCCAGGAGGAAGATGACATCAGCCTTCTCGGATACTGGACATGGACGAGCTGGGGAGTAAGAAGAGAGAACCTGTAAGAGGGGAGCCACATGGATCTGCATGGGAAAGGAGTTACGTGTCTGAGGGACCTGTCATGGTGGTACTGTGGAGAGAATTACATAAAATGTAAAGTTTCAGAGCTCAGCCGAGGACAGAGATGCTATAATAAACAAATTCAACTATTTCACAGTAATCCAATCCATTTATATGTCAAATAAATTGTCTGTATATTTGGGGTATTTGGGCGCTGCATCATTTAAGAATTGTAACTTTTATTATTATTTTTCTGTGATGCGTAGACTTATTGCTAAGTTATCAAGCCAGGATCAGGACGTTGCTGACAATAGAATCTACACGTCACTAGCACGTCTACTGCTTATCTGGACACGTGGGTACATCATCATCATCATCATAATAATGTTAACCAACACAATAAGCATACTTACGTTTTGTTGTTGCTGAGCACATGCAATAAGAGCAAATACATTTAGTGAGTGAGTGATTTAAAATTTAACGACGCATCGGCATTATTCCAGTCATATAGCGACGAGAGCTACATCTAGAGACACGGTATTTTCTAAAATATGCAACTTTACACCTGTGGAAAAGTTAAGCACCACCCATAATTTTATAAATATGTTAACTTCACACTGTAAATCTTTTACGTTGTATGCATGAAATGTTACTTCAGTGAGTATGTGGCGTGTAATGTTCATTTGCACCCACACCTCAATAAAAAGTTAAAAATTATTTCGCGTTTATTGACCTTTTAAAAACATGTGACATTTCAATTATTTTTAACCAAATATATGTATGGGCCCATGTGTAATGTTTTGAGGCCTATTTGTTGTCAGTCATCGAAAACATGTTGCCGAATCTGACAAACACACTGTTTGGGTGTCAATAGCTGGCGTGATCTGATGACATTTACAGCACGCCTACCCATGGAGGTCACCAATGGCTGAGTTCGCAACAGAGGTGTGTCCTTACGCTCCCCACGTAGGGCAGTTTCACATTCCTGAACAGTTTGTATAGGTGGGTTCTTGCTCCATGGGTAGGCGTGTATTAATCAACGGCATATTATATCATTGACACTAAAGGCCACACGGGAGTGAGACTGGGTTCCTGGGGATTGTAATTTCAGTGTGATATTCTTGTCTGCAACCAGGTTACAGGGTCCCTTGGTACTAGGATTCAGGAGAATGAAATATTAAGCAAAGAATAGTATTATGCCTTCCTATGAATATTAGTTGATAATTAAAAAAAGCCAATACGGTACCTGGGACTGCTGTTCCCTGAACTGTAAAAAAAAAATTAAAAATTATATATAGTCCTGACTTTAAGAATGAATATGTTTGATACTCCTGTGCCATACATTAAACGTTATCTTAAACACACCTCCACCATACACGATACACAGTTTACTAATTAAGCATTTATAATTAGTTGGCAAACATTCCCATACCACCTACCAGCGCATGTAGTCTGCTGTAGCTCGTTCTGAATGGTTTTGAGAGCATCGAAGTTGGTGACTGAGAAGACGTGCTTAGCGTCGCTGGCGATGCGGTCAAGTTCCACATGGTTCACTCCAATACCTATACCGATAGCCATAACCTCAACTCCAGCCTTGTGCAAGACGTTAGCCTCATGTTGTGTCTGCAGACAGAGGGAACACGAGGGGTTATTGTTTGTGGACAGAAGGGAGCAAGGTGCTATTGTCTGTAGACAGATGGAACACAGGGGGTTATTGTCTGTAGAGAAAGGAAACACAAAGGGTTATTGTCTGTAGACAGAGGAAACAAAGAGTTATTTCTGTAGACAGACAAAACGAAAGAGTTATTTTCTGTAGAGAGGAAACACAAAGGGTTATTTTCTATAGACAGAGGTAACACAAAGGGTTGTTTCCTGCAGAGAGAGGTAACACAAAAGGTTATTTTCTGTAGAGAGAGGTAACATAAAGGGTTGTTTCCTGCAAAGAGAGGTAACACAAAGAGTTGTTTCCTGCAGAGAGAGGTAACACACAGGGTTGTTTTCTGCAGAGAGAGGTAACACAAAGGGTTGTTTTCTGCAGAGAGAGGTAACACAAAGGGTTGTTTCCTGCAGAGAGAGGTAACACAAAAGGTTATTTTCCCTTAGAGAGAGGTAACACAAAGGGTTGTTTCCTGCAGAGAGAGGTAACAAAAAGGGTTGTTTTCTGCAGAGAGAGGTAACACAAAGGGTTGTTTTCTGTAGACAGAGGAAACACAAAGGATTGTTTCCTGCAGAGAGAGGTAACACATAGGGTTGTTTTCTGTAGACAGAGGAAACACAAAGGGATTGTTTCCTGCAGATAGAGGAAACACAAAGGGTTGTTTCCTGCAGAGAGAGGTAACACAAAGGGTTGTTTTCTGCAGAGAGAGGTAACACAAAGGGTTGTTTCCTGCAGAGAGAGGAAACACAAAAGGTTATTTTCTGTAGAGAGAGGTAACACAAAGGGTTGTTTCCTGCAGAGAGAGGTAACACAAAAAGGTTATTTTCTGTAGAGAGAGGTAACACAAAGGGTTGTTTCCTGCAAAGAGAGGTAACACAAAGGGTTGTTTTCTGCAGAGAGAGGTAACACAAAGGGTTGTTTTCTGCAGAGAGAGGTAACACAAAGGGTTGTTTCCTGCAGAGAGAGGTAACACAAAGGGTTGTTTCCTGCAGAGAGAGGAAACACAAAAGGTTATTTTCTGTAGAGAGAGGTAACACAAAGGGTTGTTTTCTGCAGAGAGAGGTAACACAAAGGGTTGTTTCCTGCAGAGAGAGGAAACACAAAAGGTTATTTTCTGTAGAGAGAGGTAACACAAAGGATTGTTTCCTGCAGAGAGAGGTAACACAAAGGGTTATTTTCTGTTGAAAGAGGGGGCACACAGAGGTGATTGTCTAAAGACGTGGGGCACGGTGGGGTGGGGGTGTTAAAGGGTGATTGTATGTAGGCAGAGGGAACATAAGGGGATATTATCTGTAGACTGGGGGGACACGATGACTCATTCTCAACAGGTGTATTGAAGGCAGACCGAGTTATAATTTATCAGCTATGGAAACACTACCGGTCGAAAGTAGTTTAAGGTACACACCCTAGCCACCTTTCAAGTGTCCACAGTCATAAGTCATCGATACACTGTGTTATATATAGTTATACATGTTATTGGTCATAGATGGTTTTGGGTCACGTTAAATCTCATCGATTATGTGGAAATATTATATAGTGAAGAAGAATATTACATATCATTTCTGAATAAATTTGGGGATTCCCTTAAATATTGTTCCTTGTCTATTTCTTTGGATAAAATAGTCTCGTATACTAGTGTGTACATCATATCGACTCGATGACTGCCCATCGGTGATGACGATCACGATCTTGGCAGCAGAAGGCCTAGCACCGTGAGCCGTCGTCAACGTTGTCTGGTTGACGTAGAGGAGGGCTTTGCCGGTGTAGGTGACGCCGGTGTGGTACTCGACGTTCTTGATGGCAGCGAGCAGGGCAGCCTTGCTGGCGTACTTGTCAAGGTCGAACTGAGGATACACGGCAGTTGAGAAGACAACGATGCTGAACTGCACTGCCGTGGAGCTCACGTCAAACTGGTCCACGAACTTCTGGACGAATGTAACCTGTTTTTTGAAGTTAGTAAGTCCTTCACTCGAAGAGGAGTCGAGAACGAAGACGATGTCGGCAGCGGAGGAGGCACAAACTGAAGCAGTAGTAGTCGTGCAAGTGCACCAGTTTCAGAGGGTCACAATGCATCAGCAGTGATGTAGGTAATGAGTGCGTGAGTTTGATTTAACGGCGCTTTCAACAGTTTTTATGTAATATGGGTGTCTCAGACGCTAATCAACAAGCCAAGGGACATGAAGTCTGTTTTTCAATATTTTGATATTTCATTTACTGTTATCGTAACCTTTTGCAAATTAACACGATTTGTCATACAAATATGTGATAATATTTATGGAAATGGTAATCTGTATTTTCATTTTAGTTTTTGACATTTGTGCTTTTGATTTTGACATTTTCGTTTTTGTTTTTGACATTTTCATTTTAGTTTTTGACCTTTTCGTTTTCGTTTTTGACATTTTCATTTTAGTTTTTGACATTTTCGCTTCACATTTCAGCGATTCAATAGCTACTTGAAAGTACATTATCCATGTTTTCGGTTATTTTTATACATGATTTATCACATATTTGTATGACAAATTGTATTAATTTGCAAAAGGTTACGATAAAAGAACGTGAATTATCAAAATATTGAAAAACATACTCCATGTCCCTTATGGGCCACCGTACAAGACACCTAGCACCGAATCAAAGGTTTCTCGTACTACTGTGTGTTATGTGTGTTGTTTAACGCCGCACTCAGCAATATTCCAGCTATATGTCGGCGGCCTGTAAATATTCGAGTCTGACACCAGACAATCCAGTGATTGACATCATGAGCATTGTCACCTTTTCGCTGAAGGCCTAGACTACCCCGGATCTTCACCGGTCCTGTGTGTTATGAAACATATTAGCTTTGTCCCTTTAGCTACTTGAGTGTCACAGCGAAATAGTATAATGTGTGTAACACATGCCTTAAACATCTACATACACATGTAGTGTGCATTCCAGTGATTCAGTGCGCTGGGTGTCTATGCATTCACATCACCATTTAATTACGCCTGGTACCCATTCACTCCTGGGCCAACTTGCACAAAGCGATCTTAGCGCTAAGATGATCGTAGCTCCCATACTTTAACATAGGCTTACAATAGTCGTAGCGCTAAGATCGCTTTGTGCAAGTGGGCCCTGGTACCCATTCACTCCTGGTTGAATCAATCGTCGTCAATAGTGACAATGCATTGACATGACATGTATTGTTCTTTTGCTTGTTGTTTAACGCCATACTCAGCAATATTCCAGTTATATGACGGCGGTCTGTAAATAATTAAGTCTGGACCGGACAATCCAGTGATTTACATCATGAGCATCGATCCACGCAATTGGGATACGATGACATGCATCAACCTGACCACCCGATCCCGTTAGTTGTCTCTTTCGACAGGCAAAGTCGCTTCTTACGACAAGCATGGGTTGCTGACGACCAAATCTAACCCGAATCTTTACGGGTCGCTAATTCAATGGAAAAGAAATGTCTTACCAAGCTTGTTACCTGTAAAGAAAAGAAACATGTTTTATTGATTATACTTTTTGGCATCAAGTCGTTTACCATCATATCCGTTCAGGCCTATCTACTCACAAGCAGTTTATTTTAACACAATTGCTGATAGCCAGGTTGACTTACGAGTAACTGAATCGATTTGTGAGAGTAATTTTGGATTCGCCTTCGCGTTCACCAACACCATAGTAAACTCACGCGGATGACACCAATAAGAAGCCTCAAGCGTTGTTCCCATGAGAGGGATGAACTTCCAATCCCCTTTATGCTTAAACATGTTTTGTATATCTTGAGATTTGACTTTTTTTAAAGTATGATGAATATATACCCATATATGGGAAATTCCACATGTTTGACGTCTAGACTTGTGTTGGTTGGTTGGTTGTTTAACGCCGCTATCAGCAGTATTCAAGCTATATGACGGCTGTCTGTAAATAATCGAGTCTGGACCAGACAATCCAGTGATTGACATCATGAGCATCGATCCACGCAATTGGCATACGATGACATACATCAACCAAGTCAGCGAGCCTGACCACCCGATTTCGTTAGTCGCCTCTTACGACAAGCATTTTCGCCTTTTACGGCAAGTATGGGTTGCTGAAGACGTCTTCTACCCCGGATCTTCACGGGTATCTAGACTCATGTATGTATGTATGTATGTATGTATGTATGTATGTATGTATGTATGTATGTATGTATGTATGTATGTATGTATGTATGTATGTATGTATGTAGAGAGAGATAGAGATAGAGATAGATAGATAGATAGATAGATAGATACATAAGTCTAGATACTCGAGATTATATATATACACGCATACATGTTTATATTTATTTATATTTTATATACACGGATAACGTGGCATTGCCTACATGTTTTCAGCTGTAGCTCCGTCTCGATAGTGTGCAGCGCGTCGAAACCTGTAACCTGAAACAACCAAAGAGTATTAAGATGTCCACGGTGTTGAACAAAGCAAAGGAAGGTTCAAGGTACCAGGACACTAGACAGTGTCATGCCTAAAGAACACAACTCAATAACCAAAGTTTGTGATGTCAACTAATTCTAAAATATCCGACATTGGTCAATGTCGTGGAGAATCAGTTCATTAATACCCCACTTCCGGTATCGTTGCCATGGTTTTTTTCCTTCTCACTTGTAAGTGTAGGTGTATAATACACGTACCTTTTTCACCTATTTCTGAGATTGTATATGAAAATGATTTTGGCTTGTCCACAGTGAAGTCCAACATACCATGAATACATGCTGCTTGTCGCTGGCTATGTTGTTTAATTCAGTTGAGACGATTCCATTACCGATCCCCACGGCAATGACCTTGACGCCTTTGTCATGCAACAACTTGGCTTGCTCCTTGGTATATGCGGGCAGCTGGGACTGACCGTCGGTCATCACAATCACTACCTGACGGGCATCAGCCCGGGCACCATGGGCAGCGCTGGAAGGAATGACACATCCTTTAGCAAAGGAGAGAGAGAGAGAGAGAGAGAGAGAGACAGACAGACAGACAGACAGAGAGACAGAGAGGCAGAGAGGGAGAGAGAGCAGCGCTGGCAGGAATGACACATCTTTTAGCAGAGAGAGAGAGAGAGAGAGAGAGAGAGAGAGCAGCGAGCAGCGCCGGAAGGAATGAGTACATGTAGCGTTTTAGACTTTACCTGAGAGAGTTTGTCCGTATAAACTCCAATCCGTCTCCAGTGACTGTGTTACCTCCAGTGTAGGGGATGCTGGTGATTGCAGCTTTTAACGCTGCTTTGCTGTTGTAGTCGTTTAGGAAGTAGCGGTTGGTGACAGCTGTTGAAAAGGTGACAACACCGATCTGTACGCTATCAGGACCAATGTCAAAGCCGTCGACGAAGTTGCTGACAAATTCGAGTTGCTTCTTGAAGTTGATGGACCCCTCGCTTGAGGATGAGTCCAGGAGGAACACGATGTCAACAGGGTCAGACTTGCATGCTGCAGGAGCCAAAAAAAATGTAACTACTGCCTTACGGAATTATTCTTGTGGTGATTTTTAATTGCCGGATATGACATCATGGGTGTCATGTATAGAACAAAGGCTGTCCTGAAGGTAGTATCGTGCTCCCTCTGAGTTTGCTGGAGGTCTTTTGTCAGAGTTGGATGTCATTTAACACCAGCAGGATATAGCCGATATTACTTAACACGTGAGGGAGTGAGTGAGTGGGTGAGTTTGGTTTGAAGAATATTTCAGTGGTATCACGACATGTCAACTTGATGTGGGAAGAGTGAGTGAGTGAATATGGTTTTACGCCGCTTTTAGCAATATTCCAGCAATATCACGGCGGGGGACACCAGAAATGGGCTTCACACATTGTACCCATGTCGGGAATCGAACCCAAGTCTTCGGCGTGACGAGCGAACGCTTTAACCACTAGGCTACCCGACCGCCCCTGATGTGGGAAGATGTAGGAGTTGCTCAGGGATGAGCCACAGATACACAATCGGACAAGCCGTGCGAACGTGTATTCTAATAACATTTAAGGGCAATGAGTTACGATCGTCTAACAAAAAGAAGATGCTAAATATAAATGTGTTTTACGTGAAGACTTCAATTTCGAACTTTGATATGCATTGTCGATAAGAAATACATTTTCATTTTAAGTAAACAATTGTTTATCGGTCACTATATTTTTTATCATTCGTCCACACTTTGTCAACAAATACCGTATCATGCTGTCTTTGCCATATTAATTCTTTCTGGCATGTTTGTCGAAGATTGCTTTGTATCTTATAGTTTTTACATAATATTATACACACATGTCACTTACCTGTTTGTGGAGCCTTACCTGCAAACACAAAAATATTTTATTTATATCATTTTTATATACATGTTTATTTTTATGTGACGAGTCTTCATATTTCTCCGTATTACAGAAATATTTTTCCCGTACCTGGTCTGGGTTAACATCCGTCTTACATGGAGTTTCCTGTACCTGTGCTGTGTTAACATCCGTCTTACATGGAGTTTCCTGTTCATTGGTCTGAGTTAATATCCGTCTTATATGGAGTTTCCTGTACCCGGTCTGTGTTAACATCCGTCTTACATGGAGTTTCCTGTACCCGGTCTGTGTTAACATCCGTCTTACCTGGAGTTTCCTGTACCTGTGCTGTGTTAACATCCGTCTTACATGGAGTTTCCTGTTCATTGGTCTGAGTTAATATCCGTCTTATATGGAGTTTCCTGTACCCGGTCTGTGTAAACATCCGTCTTACATGGAGTTTCCCGTACCTGGTCTGTGTTAACATCCGTCTTACAAGGAGTTTCCTGTACCTGGTCTGTGTTAACATCCGTCTTACATGGAGTTTCCCGTACCCGGTCTGTGTTAACATCCGTCTTATATGAAGTTTCCCGTACCTTGGTCTGTGTTAACATCCGTCTTACATGGAGTTTCCTGTTCATTGGTCTGAGTTATTATCCGTCTTATATGAAGTTTCCTCTGCCTTGGTCTGAGTTATCATTCGTCTTACATGGAGTTTCTCGTACCTTCGTCTGTGTTAACATCCGTCTTACATGGAGTTTCTCGTACCTGGTCTGTGTTAACATCCGTCTTACATGGAGTTTCTCGTACCTGGTCTGTGTTAACATCCGTCTTACATGGAGTTTCTCGTACCTGGTCTGTGTTAACATCCGTCTTACATGGAGTTTCCTTTACCTGGTCTGTGTTAACATCCGTCTTATATGAAGTTTCCTCTGCCTTGGTCTGAGTTAACATTCGTCTTACATGGAGTTTCCTGTTCATTGGTCTGTGTTAACATCCGTCTTACATGGAGTTTCTGTACCTGTGCTGTGTTAACATCCGTCTTACATGGAGTTTCCTGTTCATTGGTCTGAGTTAATATCCGTCTTATATGGAGTTTCCTGTACCCGGTCTGTGTTAACATCCATCTTACATAGAGTTTCCTGTACCTGGTCTGTGTTAACATCCGTCTTATATGGAGTTTCCTGTACCTGGTCTGTGTTAACATCCGTCTTACATGGAGTTTCCTGTACCCGGTCTGTGTTAACATCCGTCTTATATGAAGTTTCGCGTACCTTGGTCTGTGTTAACATCCGTCTTACATGGAGTTTCCTGTTCATTGGTCTGAGTTATTATCCGTCTTATATGAAGTTTCCTCTGCCTTGGTCTGAGTTATCATTCGTCTCACATGGAGTTTCTCGTACCTTGGTCTGTGTTAACATCCGTCTTACATGGAGTTTCTCGTACCTGGTCTGTGTTAACATCCGTCTTACATGGAGTTTCTCGTACCTGGTCTGTGTTAACATCCGTCTTACATGGAGTTTCTCGTACCTGGTCTGTGTTAACATCCGTCTTACATGGAGTTTCCTGTACCTGGTCTGTGTTAACATCCGTCTTATATGAAGTTTCCTCTGCCTTGGTCTGAGTTAACATTCGTCTTACATGGAGTTTCCCGTACCTTGATCTGTGTTAACATTCGTCTTACATGGAGTTTCTGTACCTGTGCTGTGTTAACATCCGTCTTACATGGAGTTTCCTGTTCATTGGTCTGAGTTAATATCCGTCTTATATGGAGTTTCCTGTACCCGGTTTGTGTTAACATCCGTCTTACATGGAGTTTCCTGTACCCGGTCTGTGTTAACATCCGTCTTACCTGGAGTTTCCTGTACCTGTGCTGTGTTAACATCCGTCTTATATGGAGTTTCCTGTTCATTGGTCTGAGTTAATATCCGTCTTATATGGAGTTTCCTGTACCCGGTCTGTGTAAACATCCGTCTTACATGGAGTTTCCCGTACCTGGTCTGTGTTAACATCCGTCTTACATGGAGTTTCCTGTACCTGGTCTGTGTTAACATCCGTCTTACATGGAGTTTCCCGTACCCGGTCTGTGTTAACATCCGTCTTATATGAAGTTTCCCGTACCTTGGTCTGTGTTAACATCCGTCTTACATGGAGTTTCCTGTTCATTGGTCTGAGTTATTATCCGTCTTATATGGAGTTTCCTGTTCATTGGTCTGAGTTATCATTCGTCTTACATGGAGTTTCTCGTACCTTGGTCTGTGTTAACATCCGTCTTACATGGAGTTTCTCGTACCTGGTCTGTGTTAACATCCGTCTTACATGGAGTTTCTCGTACCTGGTCTGTGTTAACATCCGTCTTACATGGAGTTTCTCGTACCTGGTCTGTGTTAACATCCGTCTTACATGGAGTTTCCTTTACCTGGTCTGTGTTAACATCCGTCTTATATGAAGTTTCCTCTGCCTTGGTCTGAGTTAACATTCGTCTTACATGGAGTTTCCTGTTCATTGGTCTGTGTTAACATCCGTCTTACATGGAGTTTCTGTACCTGTGCTGTGTTAACATCCGTCTTACATGGAGTTTCCTGTTCATTGGTCTGAGTTAATATCCGTCTTATATGGAGTTTCCTGTACCCGGTCTGTGTTAACATCCATCTTACATAGAGTTTCCTGTACCTGGTCTGTGTTAACATCCGTCTTATATGGAGTTTCCTGTACCTGGTCTGTGTTAACATCCGTCTTACATGGAGTTTCCTCTACCCGGTCTGTGTTAACATCCGTCTTATATGAAGTTTCCCGTACCTTGGTCTGTGTTAACATCCGTCTTACATGGAGTTTCCTGTTCATTGGTCTGAGTTATTATCCGTCTTATATGAAGTTTCCTCTGCCTTGGTCTGAGTTATCATTCGTCTCACATGGAGTTTCTCGTACCTTGGTCTGTGTTAACATCCGTCTTACATGGAGTTTCTCGTACCTCGTCTGTGTTAACATCCGTCTTACATGGAGTTTCTCGTACCTGGTCTGTGTTAACATCCGTCTTACATGGAGTTTCTCGTACCTGGTCTGTGTTAACATCCGTCTTACATGGAGTTTCCTTTACCTGGTCTGTGTTAACATCCGTCTTATATGAAGTTTCCTCTGCCTTGGTCTGAGTTAACATTCGTCTTACATGGAGTTTCCCGTACCTTGGTCTGTGTTAACATTCGTCTTACATGGAGTTTCTGTACCTGTGCTGTGTTAACATCCGTCTTACATGGAGTTTCCTGTTCATTGGTCTGAGTTAATATCCGTCTTATATGGAGTTTCCTGTACCCGGTTTGTGTTAACATCCGTCTTACATGGAGTTTCCTGTACCCGGTCTGTGTTAACATCCGTCTTACATAGAGTTTCCTGTACCTGGTCTGTGTTAACATCCGTCTTATATGGAGTTTCCTGTACCTGGTCTGTGTTAACATCCGTCTTACATGGAGTTTCCTGTACCCGGTCTGTGTTAACATCCGTCTTATATGAAGTTTCCTGTACCTGGTCTGAGTTAACATCCGTCTTACATGGAGTTTCCTGTACCTGGTCTGTGTTAACATCCGTCTTATATGAAGTTTCCTCTTCCTTGGTCTGAGTTAACATTCGTCTTACATGGAGTTTCCCGTACCTGGTCTGTGTTAACATCCGTCTTATATGAAGATTCCTCTGCCTTGGTCTGAGTTAACATTCGTCTTACATGGAGTTTCCCGTACCTTGGTCTGTGTTAACATTCGTTTTACATGGAGTTTCCCGTACCTTGGTCCTGGTTAACATCCGTCTTACATGGAGTTTCCCGTACCTTGGTCTGTGTTAACATCCGTCTTACATGGAGTTTCCCGTACCTGGTCTGTGTTAACATCCGTCTTACATGGAGTTTCCCGTATCTGGTCTGTGTTAACATCCGTCTTACATGGAGTTTCCTGTACCCGGTCTGTGTTAACATCCGTCTTACATGGAGTTTTCTGTTCTTTGTTCTGTGTTAACATCCATCTTACATGGAGTTTCCTGTACCCGGTCTGTGTTAACAACCGTCTTATATGAAGTTTCCTCTGCCTTGGTCTGAGTTAACATCCGTCTTACATAGAGTTTCCCGTACCTGGTCTGTGTTAACATCCGTCTTACATGGAGTTTCCTGTTCATTGGTCTGAGTTATTATCCGTCTTACATGGAGTTTCCTGTACCTTTGCCTGTGTTAACATCCGTCTTACATGGAGTTTCCTGTACCTTGTCTGTGTTAACATCCGTCTTATATGGAGTTTCCTGTACCTGGTCTGTGTTAACATCCGTCTTACATGGAGTTTCCTGTACCTTGGCCTGTGTTAACATCCGTCTTACATGGAGTTTCTCGTACCTGGTCTGTGTTAACATCCGTCTTACATGGAGTTTCCTGTACCTGGTCTGTGTTAACATCCGTCTTACATGGAGTTTCCCGTACCTGGTCTGTGTTAACATCCGTCTTACATGGAATTTCCTGTACCCGGTATGTGTTAACATCCGTCTTACATGGAGTTTCCTGTTCTTTGGTCAGTGTTAACATCCGTCTTACATGGAGTTTCCTCTGCCTTGGTCTGAGTTAACATTCGTCTTACATGGAGTTTCCTGTTCCTTGGTCTGGATTAACATCCGTCTTACATGGAGTTTCCCGTACCTTGGTCTGTGTTAACATCCGTCTTACATGGAGTTTCCCGTACCTTGGCCTGTGTTAACATCCGTCTTACATGGAGTTTAACTGTACCCGGTCTGAGTTAACATCTGTCTTATATGGAGTTTCCTGTTCTTTGGTCTGTGTTAACATCCGTCTTACATGGAGTTTCTTGTGCCTTGGTCTGATTTAGTATTCGTCTTACATGGAGTTTCCTGTGCCTTGGTCTGAGTTAAAAAACCTTCTAGCATAGAATCTAAAATATAATTTCCGGTATATCCATACGGGTTAACTCACAACAATTTGACGTGCATGGCATGTAGTTTTCCGTATATGGATCTGGGTTAACTAGAAACTATCTTGCTTCCCTTGCGTGGGTAAATAACATTGTTACATGCATTTTAGGTATCTCGGTCTGGGCTAAGAGTCATTTTATATGGCATTTCCCGTATCTCGGCTTGTGTTAACAACTATCTCAAGTTACATGGAGTAGGCTTGGTTTGGCTTGTTAGTGGTTTAACGCCTCTCCCAGCAATATTCCAGCTTTATGATGGCGGTCTGTAAATAATAGAGTCTGGACCAGACAACCCAGTGATTATTATCATGAGCATCGATCGACGACATGCATCAACCAAGTCAGCGAGCCTGACCACCCGATCCCGTTAGTCGACTCTTACGACAAGCAAAGTCGCCTTTTACGGCAAGCATGGGTTGCTGAAGGCCTATTCTACCCCGGATCTTCACGGGTCTTACATACAGTAATTTGTGTATCTGTTTGGGTTAACTTACAACGATCGTACACGTTCTTTCTAGTATCTCGGTCTGGGTTTACTGACCATCTTACAGTACTTTCTAGTATCTCAGTCTGGGTTTACTGACCATCTTACACGTATTTTCTAGTATCTCGGTCAGGGTTTACTGACCATCTTACACGTACTTTCTAGTATCTCAGTCTGGGTTTACTGACCATCTTACACGTACTTCCTAGTATCTCAGTCTGGGTTTACTGACCATCTTACAGTACTTTCTAGTATCTCAGTCTGGGTTTACTGACCATCTTACACGTACTTTCTAGTATCTCAGTCTGGGTTTATTGACCATCCTACACGTACTTTCTAGTATCTCGGTCTGGGTTTACTGACCATCTTACAGTACTTTCTGGTATCTCAGTTTGGGTTTATTGACCATCTTACACGTACTTTCTAGTATCTCAGTCTGGGTTTACTGACCATCTTACAGTACTTTCTAGTATCTCAGTCTGGGTTTACTGGCCATCTTACACGTACTTTCTAGTATTTCAGTCTGGGTTTACTGACCATCTTACACGTACTTTCTAGTATTTCGGTCTGGGTTTACTGACCATCTTACACGTACTTTCTAGTATTTCGGTCTGGGTTTATTGACCATCTTACACGTACTTTCTAGTATCTCGGTCAGGGTTTACTGACCATCTTACACGTACTTTCTAGTATTTCAGTCTGGGTTTACTGACCATCTTACACGTACTTTCTAGTATTTCGGTCTGGGTTTACTGATCATCTTACACGTACTTTCTAGTATCTCGGTCAGGGATTACTGACCATCTTACACGTACTTTCTAGTATTTCAGTCTGAGTTTACTTACCATCTTACACGTACTTTCTAGTATTTCGGTCTGGGTTTATTGACCATCTTACACGTACTTTCTAGTATTTCGGTCAGGGTTTACTGACCATCTTACACGTACTTTTTAGTATTTCGGTCTGGGTTTACTGACCATCTTACACGTACTTTCTAGTATCTCGGTCTGGGTTTACTGACCATCTTACACGTACTTTCTAGTATTTCAGTCTGGGTTTACTGACCATCTTACACGTACTTTCTAGTATTTCAGTCTGGGTTTACTGACCATCTTACACGTACTTTCTAGTATTTCAGTCTGGGTTTACTGACCATCTTACACGTACTTTCTAGTATTTCGGTCTGGGTTTACTGACCATCTTACACGTACTTTCTAGTATCTCAGTCTGGGTTTACTGACCATCTTACACGTACTTTCTAGTATTTCAGTCTGGGTTTACTGACCATCTTACACGTACTTTCTAGTATCTCGGTCTGGGTTTACTGACCATCTTACACGTACTTTCTAGTATTTCAGTCTGGGTTTACTGACCATCTTACACGTACTTTCTAGTATTTCGGTCTGGGTTTACTGATCATCTTACACGTACTTTCTAGTATCTCGGTCAGGGTTTACTGACCATCTTACACGTACTTTCTAGTATCTCAGTCTGGGTTTACTGACCATCTTACACGTACTTTCTAGTATCTCAGTCTGGGTTTACTGACCATCTTACAGTACTTTCTAGTATCTCAGTCTGGGTTTACTGGCCATCTTACACGTACTTTCTAGTATTTCAGTCTGGGTTTACTGACCATCTTACACGTACTTTCTAGTATTTTGGTCTGGGTTTACTGACCATCTTACAGTACTTTCTAGTATCTCGGTCAGGGTTTACTGACCATCTTACACGTACTTTCTAGTATCTCGGTCAGGGTTTACTGACCATCTTACACGTACTTTCTAGTATTTCGGTCTGGGTTTACTGACCATCTTACACGTACTTTCTAGTATTTCGGTCTGGGTTTATTGACCATCTTACACGTACTTTCTAGTATCTCGGTCAGGGTTTACTGACCATCTTACACGTACTTTCTAGTATTTCAGTCTGGGTTTACTGACCATCTTACACGTACTTTCTAGTATTTCGGTCTGGGTTTACTGACCATCTTACACGTACTTTCTAGTATCTCAGTCTGGGTTTACTGACCATCTTACACGTACTTTCTAGTATTTCAGTCTGGGTTTACTGACCATCTTACACGTACTTTCTAGTATCTCGGTCAGGGTTTACTGACCATCTTACACGTACTTTCTAGTATTTCAGTCTGGGTTTACTGACCATCTTACACGTACTTTCTGGTATCTCAGTCTGGGTTTACTGATCATCTTACACGTACTTTCTAGTATCTCGGTCAGGGTTTACTGACCATCTTACAGTACTTTCTGGTATCTCAGTCTGGGTTTACTGACCATCTTACACGTACTTTCTAGTATCTCTGTCTGGGTTAACTGCCCATCTTACACGTACTTTCTAGTATCTCAGTCTGGGTTTACTGACCATCTTACAGTACTTTCTAGTATCTCAGTCAGGGTTTACTGACCATCTTACAGTACTTTCTAGTATTTTAGTCTTGGTTTACTGACCATCTTACAGTACTTTCTGGTATCTCAGTCTGGGTTTACTGACTATCTTACACGTACTTTCTAGTATCTCTGTCTGGGTTTACTGCCCATCTTACACGTACTTTCTAGTATCTCAGTCTGGGTTTACTGACCATCTTACACGTACTTTCTGGTATCTCGGTCAGGGTTTACTGACCATCTTACACGTACTTTCTGGTATCTCAGTCTGGGTTTACTGGCCATCTTACACGTACTTTCTAGTATCTCAGTCTGGGTTTACTGACCATCTTACAGTACTTTCTAGTATTTTAGTCTGGGTTTACTGACCATCTTACACGTACTTTCTAGTATTTTAGTCTGGGTTTAATGACCATCTTACAGTACTTTCTAGTATCTCAGTCTGGGTTTACTGACCATCTTACAGTACTTTCTAGTATCTCGGTCTGGGTTTACTGACCATCTTACACGTACTTTCTAGTATCTCTGTCTGGGTTTACTGCCCATCTTACACGTACTTTCTAGTATCTCAGTCTGGGTTTAATGACCATCTTACAGTACTTTCTAGTATCTCAGTCTGGGTTTACTGCCCATCTTACACGTCCTTTCTAGTATCTCAGTCTGGGTTTACTGACCATCTTACAGTACTTTCTAGTATCTCAGTCTGGGTTTACTGCCCATCTTACAGTACTTTCTAGTATCTCAGTCTGGGTTTACTGACCATCTTACAGTACTTTCTAGTATCTCAGTCTGGGTTAACTGCCCATCTTACAGTACTTTCTAGTATCTCAGTCTGGGTTTACTGACCATCTTACAGTACTTTCTAGTATCTCGGTCTGGGTTTACTGACCATCTTACACGTACTTTCTAGTATCTCTGTCTGGGTTTACTGCCCATCTTACACGTACTTTCTAGTATCTCAGTCTGGGTTTAATGACCATCTTACAGTACTTTCTAGTATCTCAGTCTGGGTTTACTGCCCATCTTACACGTCCTTTCTAGTATCTCAGTCTGGGTTTACTGACCATCTTACAGTACTTTCTAGTATCTCAGTCTGGGTTTACTGCCCATCTTACAGTACTTTCTAGTATCTCAGTCTGGGTTTACTGACCATCTTACAGTACTTTCTAGTATCTCAGTCTGGGTTAACTGCCCATCTTACAGTACTTTCTAGTATCTCAGTCTGGGTTTACTGACCATCTTACAGTACATTTTGTAGTATCTCAGTCTGGGTTTACTGCCCATCTTACACGTCCTTTCTAGTATTTCAGTCTGGGTTTACTGACCATCTTACACGTACTTTCTGGTATCTCAGTCTGGGTTTACTGCCCATCTTACAGTACATTTTGTAGTATTTCAGTCTGGGTTTACTGACCATCTTACACGTACTTTCTAGTATCTCAGTCTGGGTTTACTGACCATCTTACAGTACTTTCTAGTATCTCATTCTGGATTTACTGCCCATCTTACAGTACTTTCTAGTATCTCAGTCTGGGTTTACTGCCCATCTTACAGTACTTTCTAGTATCTCAGTCTGGGTTTACTGACCATCTTACACGTACTTTCTAGTATCTCAGTCTGGATTTACTGACCATCTTACAGTACTTTCTAGTATCTCATTCTGGGTTTACTGCCCATCTTACACGTCATTTCTAGTATCTCAGTCTGGGTTTAATGACCATCTTACAGTACTTTCTAGTATCTCAGTCTGGGTTTACTGACCATCTTACACGGTCTTTCTAGTATCTCAGTCTGGGTTTACTGACTATCTTACACGTCCTTTCTAGTATCTCAGTCTGGGTTTACTGCCCATCTTACATGTGCTTTCTAGTATCTCAGTCTGGGTTTACTGCCCATCTAACAGTACTTTCTAGTATCTCGGTCAGGGTTTACTGACCATCTTACACGTACTTTCTAGTATCTCGGTCTGGGTTTACTGACCATCTTACACGTACTTTCTAGTATCTCGGTCAGGGTTTACTGACCATCTTACAGTACTTTCTAGTATCTCGGTCTGGGTTTACTGACCATCTTACACGTACTTTCTAGTATCTCGGTCTGGGTTTACTGCCCATCTTACACGTACTTTCTAGTATCTCGATCTGGGCTAGCTCACAACCATCTTACATGTAGTCTGTCGTATCTCTGTCTCGATCTTCTGCAGAGCATCAAAATCTGCCACTCTGAACACAAAAGAAGGATCACTGGCAAGAGCCGTGAGTTCTCCGTTGTCGATGCTCGTACCGATGCCCACCGATATGACCTTGATACCGGCACTATGGAGCTTCTCCGCTTCATTGGCTGTGACCGACTTCTGCTGAGATTCACCATCGGTGACGACAATGACCACTTGTTGAGCGTCGGGGCGGCCGCCATGTTGTGGTAGAAAACTGTTCGCCCCAACAAACTTGAGTCCCTCTCCTGTTTCCGTAATTCCCGGGCGGTACTGCACGTTCTGGACTGCCTGTTAACAATAGCGTTGTTGAGGCAATATATATTTTTTTATAATTTGATTCTCATCACAACCGACCCTCAAACTGTGCCAAAACCAATGTATTTTTATCATATGCATACTTTATGTGGTTCCCGTTTCGCATTTATATATTCTATTTCGAATTTTCATTATTTAATATAACCGAACATGACGACTAGCGATGCTGTTGATGATTTTGCAAGTCAAGGAAGGCTAGGACGTTTTGAAACCATTGAATTGCGCTTTGGTATATGAATTGTGCCACGAAATAAGACTGTGAGTTATGTGTCTTAACGTAGATATGAACATAAAAGCGACAAAACCCTTCCATGTACAGTATATATTCAGTTCAAATATTATTCTCGCTAAAAATGATTAATGAAAATTATATTATTCTTATCTTCCATATTCAGTATATATTCAGTTCAAACATTTTTCTCGTTAAAAAATGATTAATGAAAATTATGTTATTATTATCCACAAAATAACCCAGAAATATAAGTCAATGTAAGTTTTATCTCAAGGTTGTATAGAACTACTGATATACAACAAAGGGATTATATAAACTGAGAAAAAAAAGTGTTAATATTTCATGTTGAAGTTTGAATTCAAAGTGTAAACTGGTGTATGCATCTTCAATTATTTAAAGCTAAAAATGAATCCCGAGTTGATGGTAAAATGTACACAAAAATAAAAATTCTTTAATTACTGAAGTATTTGATTAAAGATACAAATGTCATCCAAAAAGCTTTCTTCTTCAATCTCGTCCCATGAAGCTGGTCTCGCCAAACATCTTATAACATTTTTTAAGCAGGTTTGTTTTAAATATACATAAAAAAACATACGGGGAAAATCAACACGAAATTTCAGCAAAATCCACCCTCGATACCCAAGTGTCAATGATGCACCGTAAGTCACAGCATTCATCGTCCTGACTCACGTTGAGCAGATCGGCTTTTGTGGTAAAGTTGTTCAACCAGAACTCATTCTTGACGTTAGTCGCAAACGTTACGACACTAAGCTGCACGTTGTTTGGTCCGATGTTCAGCTCGCGGGCGAAGTTGTTGACGAAGTTCAGCTGCTTCTTGAAGTTTTCTGACCCTTCACTGCTGGATGTGTCCAACAGAAACACGACATCCGCCGGCCGTGAGCTGCACGCTACGACACAGGTATTTATACAAGAATTGTATTGAACATCATCTTATGAATTTGGAAAAAAGCTGGATTCTGAGTATCGGAGGTTTCAATTGAAATTAACCACCTCTGATTGAAGCAGATGATTTTGATGGCCGCATTAGCGCGAGAGGCATCTTTCTCAGGCATTATCGGCACGCATATTGAAAGAATGTTTTGCACAATTATAGGTTACAAAATGTAGAGTTATAGTAAGTACAATATTCAAAGTAAGCGTGATTCCTAATTGAAATCCAGTCTCGCAGTGTTTAAAGAGGGAACTTGTTCCACTGTGTGTAGCCCACTTGCAGGTTAGGTCCAGATGCATTCAGACCCAAGAAGATCCCGGGTAGAAAAGCTTTCAGCAACCCATGTTTGCCGTAATAGACGACTGACGGAATCGCGTGGTCAGGCTCGCTGACTTGAATTGATGCATGTCATCGATCCCAATTGTGTGGATCGATGCTTTTAATATTAATCACTAGAATGTTGGTTAACACCGCACTCAGCAATATTCCAGCTATATGACGGCGGTCTGTAAAAAATCGAGTCTGGACCAGACAATCCTGTGATTGACATCTTGAGCATCGGTCCACGCAACTGGATCAATGACATGCATCAATCAAGTCAGCGAGCCTGACCACCCGATCCCGTTAGTCGCCTCTTACGACAAGCAGAGTCGCTTTTAACAGCAAGCCAAGTAATTACTTACCGTCATACCTATGTTAACATAAGTTAACATAACATGAAGTGTATCATCTGTATTATTAATCATTTATGGAATGTCAAGCTTCTTAATTCGAAAATATTTATTTGTTTTGAAAATAATACCATGCATTTTATAGCATTTCAGACGTACGCCCTTTGGCAAGCATATAGTTGCCTTTTACGGCAAGCATGGGTTATGAAGAGCATATTCCCCGGATCTTCACGGGTATCAAAATATATGAAGGAATATTATGGATAACAACTTTTTTAAGCATGCACAAATTTTAGGGTTACTTAATAAAAGGACAAGAGGTAGCCCTCGAACGCTTTAATACGCGATATTATCCTAAGGAAAGTGTTTTCCATCATGTTCCTTGTCATAGGTATATCAAACTTCAAAATACCGAAATTATCATCGGTGCTATTTACCCGACGCTGATACCACTTTGGATCAAAAGTGTACAAGCAACAGCGTTGTAAGAATCCATGTTTCATATTCACACTGTGGTAACATACTTACATTTATCATTTCCTTACATATGATAAACACGTACCCGTTTGTGCTGAAAATAGAACAAGACGAGAGCATTAGTAAGCGTTCGCTGTATCGGTGTTTGTCTGATTGCGTCATAAGTCATGTGACTGTGACATTGTTTGAGGTATCTAGATCGAAGAGAGATTATTGACTGAAGGTTAATCGAGGTTGACGATGTCAATGTTAAAGGTACGAGGAAGTGAGTTTGGATTTACGCCTATTATAGCAATATTGCAGCCATCACATCAAGATTGGGATTCATATATTGTACTCACGTTGGGAATCGAGCCCGGGGCTTCGGCGTGACAAATTAATCTTTGAACCCATAGGCTACCTCACGTCTCTTACTAACCGTTAAATTGTTTTCGAAAAACTTAAATTTTTTCTTACTTTTACATGTCTGACTTTGGATCTCTTTCTCGATGGTTTGCAGGGCGTCAAAGTCGGCCACGGCGAAGGCGTTCTGGTCGCCGTCCCCGGAGGCGATGTCTTTGATCTCCTGTTGGTCAATGCTGTTACCGATGCCGATGGCGATGACCTGAGTACCGGCGTTGTGGACGCTGTTGGCTGCTGCTTTGGTCTGTGTTTTATCTGACGACTGGCCGTCGGTGAGGATGATGATGAGGTGGTTGGAGTTATTCCGGGCACCGTTAGCTGCTGTGAATGCCGTCTCACCAAGTCTGAAAATTTATATTTTCAGTATTGAGTATCCCAGTATACTTGACCTTTCTTTGCAGTATTACATTCTTCAGTATCTTTGGAATATGGTACAAACTAACAAAACAGTGTCACGTAAAAACGGTATTTACAATAACTAAACAGGAGTTATCTGTAGGAATAACTGAATAACCAGACCATCTTAACACATATTTCCTAACAAAACGAGAGGAACCCCTGTAACGAGAGGACTCCGAAAGTTATTCATTTTATCAAATCCTTTGACCTTTGTAACGTAAATATGTTTAATTAATTAAACTATTATACAAAATACATTAATTTAAGACCGACCTACTTGAGAGCCGACTCTGTGTGGGTGTTGCCACCTAAATATTTGACCTTGTCTATGGCATTCATAAGATCTGTGCTAGTGTCGTAGTCGTTGAACCAGAACGCGGGCGTTGTCGTGGTGGAGAATGTCGCCAGTGCGATCTGGACGGCGTCAGGGCCGATGGTGAAGTCCTTCGTGAAATTCTTTATAAAGTTCAGCTGCTTATCAAAGTTGTTAGTCCCCTCGGAAGCGGAAGCGTCCAGCAGGAACAAGATGTCGGCGGGGGTTGATTTGCAGACTGAATTGGAATAAATGATATGGCGATATTGGGCAAGACGCGTGTTGATATATATCAATACATGTATATGGATGTATTTTTAATAACTAATAAAATGAACTATTATCATAATCTATATGTGAACTTTAAATATCTAGACACAAATGGTATACAATAAATGAAATTACTTCTGTAGTGCCATCACCACATTAGTACAATTATGCCATTTCCCGCTTCGAATATTGACTGATGTTAATTAATACTTACCTAATCCCTCGGCTGAAATACAAGACGTTTTCATTTAAGAAAGTCTTTCTTCATAAATTGCAGTGTCATTTGAAATGCAAACAAGGAACTCATGCAAGCTCGTATTGTATCAAATGGTGTCTCAGAATAACTGGTGAGCTAATATATCACGATGTCAAATAATAATTTATAAGTTGGTCATTCTTATGACATGAGACGCAGGTACATGAGACCTTGGGAAATACACGTGTTAATACAACAATGTATTCCAGAAGAAAACTACAACAATTTCCTCAAGATCTTCCCCCGATCGTTGCGGAAACTCAGTTGCAGTAATATCTGGTCCAGGATCGAGTATTTACAGGCTGGTTGCGTCGTAAAACGACATTCACTCACTTACAAATCAACCAGATCGGGGCCAATTTACCCAGACCGATATACTATCCCCCATTTAACATTAATTTACAACAGTTAAAGCGTTACAATAGTTTTGTGAAAGTTGTCCAACATTCAACTCCCACCAGGGCATTGTACCCTTGAAGATCCGGGTTAGAATAGGTCATCAGAAACCCATGATTGCGTAAAGACCCTATCTCACATTCACGAATCTGAACACGAATGATCACGATTTAACGTTTTTGCTTAAATCGTGTTAGAACGTATGAAGGTCGCGCACTCATTTGTGTTCATTCGTGTGAAGTCGTGGGCGGTCGCGCGCGGTCGTATGGACGTCGCAGCTCGGATTAAATCGTGTCATAAATTTTTGCAATGCAAAAAATTTATAACACGATTTAAACCGAGCTGAAAAGTCGTGTTCAGTCGTATGAAGGTCGTATGAAGGTCGCATGACAGTCGTGTTCAATCGTATGAAGATCGTGTTCAGTCGCATTCAGTCGTGTTGGGGAGCGAGGGAAGAAACTCATACGACCTTCATACGTTTTAACACGATTCAACACGACTTTCATACGACTTTCATACGACTCCCATACGCCTGAACACGAAATCCATACGTTTGTCATACGACCGGAAGAGCCAATCACGTGACTGAGTGAGAACGTGGGAAACCACCTGAAGTGAAACCTCATTCTATAGCCATGCCAAACCTCAGGCGGCCGAAACGGAAGCTCAACAACCATGGTCGAACCCAGAATCTCTTCCTGTTCCTCACTCTGCGACGCCTACGCTGCCTCCTACCCCTCACCATCATAGCCATAGCTACCAGAAGTACTTCCTCCTCCTCCAAAGCTGCTTCTTGCGGGTCTTGTTCGTTGTTGAACATGGTGAAGACTGACACAGAAATGCTGTTGCAATGCAGCTTATATACTACATGACCCACGTGACCAAAATAAACAAAAATATGTCGTATGAAGGTCTTGCTCAGTCGTATGGAGATCGTGTTTATTTTTGTAGTCGTATGGACATCGTAATGATTCCGGTTTAATCGTATGGCGGTCGTGTTGATTCGTGTTAAGTCGTATGGGCGTCGTATGACAGTCGTGTTTGGTCGTATGACAGTCGTATTGGGGTCGTGTTAAATTAGGTTTAATCGTGTTGTATCGTATGAATATCTTATGACGGTCGTATGAGTGTCGTGTTCAGTCGTGTAAAGGTCGTATGAGGGTCGTATGAGGGTCGTTTTTGGTCGTATGAGGGTCGTGTTTGGTTAAGAAATTTGCATAAACCACAAGGTCGAGCGCGAATCAACACGATTTTTCAACTTTTCTTAAATCGTGTTCGCAATTTCTTAAATCGCGTATGTGAGATAGGGGCTTAAGAGGCGACTAACGGGATCGGGTGGTCAGGTTCGCTGACTTGGTTGATGCATGTCATCTTATCCCAGTTGCGTGGATTGATGCTTATGAAATCCTTCACTGGATTATCTGGTCCAGATTCGTTATTTACAGACCGTCGTTATTAAGATGGAATATTGCTGATAGCGGCGTTAAACAACAAATAAACAAACACCCCGTTCCCGGTTCGTTTGTTTTTGGGGACTCACTTTTGCACGTCTGTTGTTCCACCTCTTTCTCAATGTCGGCGAGGCCGCTGAAATTGGCCACTCTGTATACATGCTGTTTGTCGGTGGCGATGGTGTCCAGTTCGGAAGAGGAGATACTGGAGCCAATGCCGATGGCGATGACGCGGATGTTGGTGTTATGGATCTTATTAGCTGCATCTGCCGTCAGTGCAGGTTTCGTGGACTGACCATCGGTCAAAACAAAAATAATTTTGTTGGAGTTGTTCCGCGCTCCATGGGCGTCCGAGAAGCTTTCCTGCAGCGCATGCGTCAGAGCTTGGTCGGTGGCTGTTGTGCCACCTCTGCGGGAATATACATAAGAGTAAGATGCTGCTATAGACAGCAACCGTCATACACATTGTTGCTGGTACGTCATGCGAAGGAAAAGTATCCTTTGGGAGGAAAAGTGCCAACTAGTATGACGATTGGTTGGGTTCAAAGTGGACAGTTCCATGCGCGTGATGACAGTCCACTAATATTGGGCTTGGGTTGGATTAAAGATTGACAGTATGATATGATGGCTAGAAGTCTACTCACATGGTGATTAGATTGGATAACAACATAAGAGACCCGTCAAGATCCGGGGAGGAATAAGTTTTCAGCAACCCTCGTAAGGGGCGATTAACGTGATCGGCTGGTCAAGTTGTCCAACATTCAAATCCTACCAGGGCATTGTACCCGGGTTAGAATAGCTTCAGCATCCCGTAACAGGATCGGGTTGTCAGGCTAACTGACTTGGTTGATGCATGTCATCGTATCCCAATCGCGTGGATCGATGATCATGATATCAATCACTGGATTGTCTGGTCCAATCTGGATTATTTACAGACCGCCGTTATATAGCTGGAATATTGCTGAGTGCGGCGTTAAACAACAAACTGAGACAAAACATAGCCCAGTCGAAATAAAATAAAATAAAAGTAGTCAAGAATATCCTCTTACGAAAGTTTATAATCAAAGTGACCAAAGCAGGTGATCAGGTGTATGTCCTGTCCTCCCGGTAGTACAGGTCAAGTGCTTCTAAAGTTATGAGGGAACACAACAACCTGGCGGTGCAGCATCATGTCCCGACGGCATGCATCATTGCTTAATTCAAACCACGATGGATTCACACAATGATGGATCAGATTCAAACCACGGACCTTTTGATCCGAAGTCGGATGCTTGTCCAAATTACCAAAGAGGTTAACCCCGTTGGCAACTGGCAAGGTATGGGAGACTGACCTGCTAAACAATCATCCGTCAACAGAAGGCACGTCATTGGTCGCTTTGTAGGGTTTTGAGGCCTATTTTGCTCAAATTGGCTATGAACATGCTCAGCCCCACGTTGGGCGCCAATGTCCACGTGACCAAAGAGGACAAGGTAAGGATGTCATCTGTAGGATGACTCCATTCCCAGTAACAAGATTCACTCACTCACTCACTACAGGCTGTCGTAGTACAGTTGCACAGCTGCTAACAATGGCACTCACTCGCTGATACATAAACTGTATCTTTATATATGAGAAACATCGCACGTCATATCGCACCAACATTTTACATTTAGAGCAAGCATGTATGAGTATGTTATTCAAACACGAAACTTTCTACTGTCGTCAATTATAACCGTGGCTACAATTTACCCGTATTGGATTTTCTTGATGGCATTGAGAACATCGGCTTTGTTGGTGTAGTCGTCAAGCCAGAAGGCGTTGTTTACAGTGGTTTCAAACGTGGCAACACTCACCTAAACCGAAAGTAGTTGTACTGGCAGGATTGCGCCGTCATATACAATACACTACTTGACAAAGACCGATAACCCTTTTCAGAGGATAGAATCTACGGGTCTCATAACATCGTTCACAAGAACCAATACTTTATTATCATATATGCAAAATATATATATGTTTCCCATAAACTCAGCTGGATTATGATTGACCTGCTGTACTTATCTTAGTTTGTACTTGTATTGTTTTTGTTGTCCAGCTGTCACTTATGATCACAATACCGATATGTGTTGTTTTTTGTTTTTTTAAATGCGACAAAAATGTTTCCATATTCATAAGAAATCTCTGCCCAAACCAGTCGATTTACGATTCCGACTATATCATGAGCATGTTTTTTATGAATCACTATCAAATAGTGATGATATCAGGTGTTCGCGAAAAGGTGAGCGTACCCTGCCCAACCGGTGGTACCCGTTACAAACACATGCAAAGGCAAGTCAATTGTTCGCCTGACAAAACATGGGAACATATTATACAAGTCAAAATAGGTAATTGCATCAGACATAATTTTTGTCACTGATGGGTCAAATGTCTAAATGTCCTCTACATGATGTCTGTCATAAAACGTTTTGAAAGCTTTACTGTGGCCGTGAGTTGTATGACGCTCTTTGAAATCTTGGTTGAAAAAGCATACTCGATTGTACCTCAAAAGTTGTGAAATGTAGACACATAGGGCTGGAGCTGCAGGAATATAGCTCGAGATAAAGGGAAAGTTGACTATTTGAAAGTTGAAGTCATCCGTCTTGTGTAGTGTGTTTTGTCACTCTGAATCTTTAAGCATAAATCTAAATATGAAACACGTGAAGCCGTCTCACTGTTATCCTTTGTTTCTAGTTCAGGTGGGTAAATCAGTGGAGGGGAAACTGACTATTTGATGGTTATAGAACGATATCAGATCATCGATATACCTGAAGCTTAAGTTAAACCTCTTGGCCAAATTACCCTGTTTTGACTGAACCAATCCCAGCAGAAACTCTGATTCATATGCACAAGGAAACCGATCAGCAAGAAGGAGATTCGTGTGTGTGACATGTAGACAGCTGTGTATTTATGAATACGCTATGGTCAGTGGTCAAATATAGTGTAGTGAATGCATAAACTGTGAGTTGATATACAACCTGCACTTTGTCAGGTCCAATGTCGAATTTGTCCACAATATTGGAGACAAAGGTCAACTGGTCCTTGAAGTTTGTGGCCCCCTCGCTGCCCGAAGAGTCCAGAAGAAACACCAGATCAGCAGGCACTGAATGGCATTCTGCTACTAGGGAAGAAGTGTAAGAAAACGGTCGTCATAATAGTACAAATAGACACAATTATTGATCTATGCACGTACAAATACAACACAAGATATTCATAACATGAAGTAAGGTTAAGCCCAATGTGGAACTGATTATTACATGCATGTGTGCGTGGCTCCTTGTACTTGTCCGGACTTTGGCTGCTTTTATAGTGCTAGCCTAATGAGAAACCACGCCGAAGTTTGACATGGATACCACACCGACCGGTCATTGTTTTATCCCCTTAATACCGATCTCCAGGCAGGGTGACAACAAGTACCATCTTCCCAAGTCCTGTAGTATGACGCGACCTTGGAATCGAACCACCGCTAGTCGAGCAGACACCAACCACTACACAAGGGTAACGGTTGAGCCATCCACCGATCGTTTAGAACCACACTTATACATAAATATAAATGCATAAAATATTTCTTGAAAGACAGAATCGATATACTAGTATGAGCTAAAATATGTCCACGTAATGGACACTGAAATTTTATTCAGTCACAATGTTTTTACATTTCTGCTCGCGACCCACCTTGAGTGGTCGTGGATGGGGTCGCTGTCACTGCTGTAATCAAAAAAAGGTTAAAGCGGTATTCATATTGATATCTCTGTCATGATAAACATTGAATGATAACAAAATCCATACAATATCACACATTGAGTCATTGAGTTATATTTAACACTGTTTAGGACGGTATTCCAGTTATACCACGACGTGGCGACTGGAAGTTGGACCAAAGCCAACGCACATTGAAGCTATAACAGTGTACATATATAATATGGTGACTGTAGTTACATTATTTTTTTACTATCTTCAACGTCACTTCACAGATGAAGTTTATATATTATACGATAAAGTTCAGTTAACCGAGATTGAATGGTAAGGTAAGTATATTTATGAATACATATTTCATCTATGTGATACATATACCTGGTGCTGAGGGTGAGGTGAAGACACTGACTGTTACACGAAAGATGCATATGTCACTATAAGTGTAAGTATGAACTTATTGTCATTGGTAACACTTCCCATTACATGTGAATGGGGATTCAGGATGTACAGTTACATGTTTTTGGTAACGACGTTGTTAATATCACGTTACGGTTACAATATGATGTTTATAAGGAGAAATCAACTCAAGGTAATATTTAAAAAACAATAATTAACAGTTATCGCCAAAAGAATATATAAGATTCATCAATGAGGTGAGCATAAATTTGATTAATATTACAAATTTGGTGGAAATATTTACCCTTGAGAACTGTTGACAAAGACGCTCCTGCGTTGAGGGTGAAGACATCTGGATTAAAGACATACTAAAGTCATTGAACATACTTTCATGCATGTATTCAGGTATAATGTGTGCGTCAGTGAGTAATTAAGTGAGTGAGTGAGGGAGTTGGGTTTAACGCCGCTTTTAACAGTATTACAGTTATAACACGGCGTGTCAGCTTAATGTGGGAGGAAAGCCCGAAGTGATGCAGGTCTCAGACGTTTACCACTTCGGTGAAACCCACGAGCACGGGTATGGTGCTGACAAACCTAGAAACATAATCGGGGCGAACCGGGATTCGAACCCACAATCATAGGTGTCTGGCGTGCCCAAGGGACGCAACTCTGGACAGCGAATCGCGGCGCCTTAGACGACTGGGCCACCCGTGCCCCCCAGTGAGTAAGTGAGTGAGTGAGTGAGTGATGATGCGGTAGGATGAAGGCCAATTTTTGGCCCACTTGCTAATAAAACTTTGAAATATTGAGTCAAAGATTTTCTCATATTCAAATATTATAATAAAAGCGACAAAACCATTTCCCTATTCATAAGAAATCTCTGCCAAAAGCAGAGTCGATAGTACGATTCCGACTATAGTATGAACACGTGTTTATGAATCACTATCAAATAGTGATGATACCAGGTGCTCGGGGAAAGGTTAGCGTATCAAGCCCTACCGGTGGCACCCGTTACAAACACATGCAAAGGCAAGTCAATTGTTTATCTGAAAAAACAGGGGAACATGTCAAAATAGGGAATTTAATCGGACATCATTCTTGTCACTGATGCGTCTGATTTCGAAAAGTCCTCCAAATGTCCATCATTAACCTTTTTGAAAGCTTCACTGAGACCTTGAATGCTGTTACCTTGAAAACTTTGAAATTAACCCTTTTTTTCACCCATTTGAACTATATACCTAAAGTATACATTTAGTGTTTGTCATAAGTCTCAAACATGCAGTTGTTAAAATGAACAAAGTTAAGTTCTCATTCCTTTGGACACCTTCTGGTAACTTTCATAATTTCTTAAAGTTTTGCACAATTTTAAAATATGGACCTTAATGTACAGATGAGCTACATACATGGACATTAATGTACAGATGAGCTACATACATGAGCTTAATGTACTGATAAGCTACATACATGAACCTTAATGTACAGATGAGCTACATACATGAACCTTAATGTACAGATGATCTACATACATGGACGTTAATGTACAGATGAGCTACATACATGGAGCCTCGTGTACAGATGAGCTACATACATGGACCTTAATGTAAGGATGAGCTACATACATGAGCTTAATGTACTGATAAGCTACATACATAGACCTTAATGTACAGATGAGCTACATACATGGAGCCTCGTGTACAGATGAGCTACATACATGGACCTTAATGTACAGATGAGCTACATACATGAGCTTAATGTACTGATAAGCTACATACATATACCTTAATGTACAGATGAGCTACATACATGGAGCCTCGTGTACAGATGAGCTACATACATGGACCTTAATGTAAGGATGAGCTACATACATGAGCTTAATGTACTGATTAGCTACATACATAGACCTTAATGTACAGATGAGCTACATACATGGAGCCTCGTGTACAGATGAGCTACATACATGGACCTTAATATACAGATGAGCTACATACATGGGCATTAATGTAAGGATGAGCTACATACATGAGCTTAATGTACTGATAAGCTACATACATGGACATTAATGTACAGATGAGCTACATACATGGACATTAATGTACAGATGAGCTACATACATTGACATTAATGTACAGATGAGCTACATACATGAGCTTAATGTACTGATAAGCTACATACATGAACCTTAATGTACAGATGAGCTACATACATGGACATTAATCTACAGATGAGCTACATACATGAGCTTAATGTACTGATAAGCTACATACATGAACATTAAAGTAGTCGTTCGAGTTTTCTCCAGTTCCCTGGCATGCCGTCTAGACGTGATACATATCTGGATTAGACGTGACGAGACGAGACGCGACGAGAACTTATCAGGTCCCGGTGACTTACCCGACATTTAAACATCACCATTCTGTTTCAAAGGTCAACGGGATATTTGTGTAACAGGGATGACCATCAACGTCAAAGATCGAAACGCTTTACCTGGTGTAACATCAGTGGTCTGAGCACTGGTTAACCCTAGCAACAAAACCATCACCATGGAAACACGGAGCTTCATCCTTGGACCCTCTTGGTTGACAGATTACCTACGTCTGAAGATTGTCTTGCATTTGGTCATTCTTATAGATATACAGTTTAATCTGTCCAAAAGCCCGCCCATCTCAGATAAGTTGTATCTTATCTCTGCACCAAAAGTTTAAAAACATTAAATGTGTTTCGAGTTTCTTTTTAACTGCTTGACATTAAGGACAACTTTTCTGGATATGAACACCAACCCCAGGAATATTCTCGATTGTCTGTTGAAACAGCAAAATAGTGGTGAAAATTATATGAATTGAACACAGAAACTCAGCGATGACACAAGATGTTCGCGAAAACGGTCCTAGCACTCACGGGCAATTTGTCAGTAGGTGACTCCCCGTGTGGATCTCTAGTTGGAACCTATATCATTTAATTGATAGAGGGGTCAGGCTCGGTGTCCTGGTTGATTGCTTGTCATCGTAACCCGAAGGAATGCATGAGCTGCACACATAAACCTTAATGTACAGATGAGCTGCACACATGAACCTTAATGTACTGATGAGCTACACACACGAACCTTAATGTACTGATGAGCTACACGCACGAACCTTAATGTACGGATGAGCTGCACACATGAACCTTAATGTACAGATGAGCTACACACACGAACCTTAATGTACTGATGAGCTGCACACACGAACCTTAATGTACTGATGAGCTGCACACATGAACCTTAATGTACAGATGAGCTGCACACATGAACCTTAATGTACTGATGAGCTACACACACGAACCTTAATGTACTGATGAGCTACACGCACGAACCTTAATGTACGGATGAGCTGCACACATGAACCTTAATGTACAGATGAGCTACACACACGAACCTTAATGTACTGATGAGCTGCACACACGAACCTTAATGTACTGATGAGCTGCACACATGAACCTTAATGTACAGATGAGCTACACACACGAACCTTAATGTACAGATGAGCTACACACACGAACCTTAATGTACTGATGAGCTACACACACGAATCTTAATGTACTGATGAGCTGCACACATGAACCTTAATGTACAGATGAGCTACACACATGAACCTTAATGTACAGATGAGCTGCACACATGAACCTTAATGTACAGATGAGCTACACACACGAATCTTAATGTACAGATGAGCTACATACACGAATCTTAATGTACAGATGAGCTACATACACGAACCTTAATGTACAGATGAGCTACACACACGAACCTTAATGTACAGATGAGCTACACACATGAACCTTAATGTACAGATGAGCTACACACACGAACCTTAATGTACTGATGAGCTACACGCACGAACCTTAATGTACGGATGAGCTGCACACATGAACCTTAATGTACAGATGAGCTACACACACGAACCTTAATGTACTGATGAGCTGCACACACGAACCTTAATGTACTGATGAGCTGCACACATGAACCTTAATGTACAGATGAGCTACACACACGAACCTTAATGTACAGATGAGCTGCACACATGAACCTTAATGTACAGATGAGCTACACACACGAACCTTAATGTACAGATGAGCTGCACACATGAACCTTAATGTACAGATGAGCTACACACACGAACCTTAATGTACAGATGAGCTACACACACGAACCTTAATGTACTGATGAGCTACATACACGAACCTTAATGTACAGATGAGCTGCACACATGAACCTTAATGTACAGATGAGCTACATACACGAACCTTAATGTACAGATGAGCTGCACACATGAACCTTAATGTACAGATGAGCTACACACACGAACCATAATGTACTGATGAGCTACACACGCGAACCTTAATGTACAGATGAGCTACACACACGAATCTTAATGTACAGATGAGCTACATACATGGATCGCAATGTACAGATGAGCTACACACATGAATCTTAATGTACAGATGAGCTACACACATGGATCGCAATGTACAGATGAGCTACATACACGAACCTTAATGTAGTGATGGGCTGCACACACGAACCTTAATGTACAGATGAGCTACACACACGAATCTTAATGTACAGATGAGCTACACACACGAACCTTAATGTACAGATGGGCTGCACACATGAACCTTAATGTACAGATGAGCTACATACACGAATCTTAATGTACAGATGAGCTACACACATGGATCGCAATGTACAGATGGGCTACACACACGAACCTTAATGTACAGATGGGCTGCACACATGAACCTTAATGTACAGATGAGCTACACACATGGATCGCAATGTACAGATGGGCTACACACACGAACCTTAATGTACAGATGGGCTGCACACATGAACCTTAATGTACAGATGAGCTACACACATGGATCGCAATGTACAGATGAGCTACATACACGAACCTTAATGTAGTGATGGGCTGCACACACGAACCTTAATGTACAGATGAGCTACACACACGAATCTTAATGTACAGATGAGCTACACACACGAACCTTAATGTACAGATGGGCTGCACACATGAACCTTAATGTACAGATGAGCTACATACACGAATCTTAATGTACAGATGAGCTACACACATGGATCGCAATGTACAGATGGGCTACACACACGAACCTTAATGTACAGATGGGCTGCACACATGAACCTTAATGTACAGATGAGCTACACACATGGATCGCAATGTACAGATGGGCTACACACACGAACCTTAATGTACAGATGGGCTGCACACATGAACCTTAATGTACAGATGAGCTACACACATGGATCGCAATGTACAGATGAGCTACATACACGAACCTTAATGTACAGATGAGCTACACACACGAACCATAATGTACTGATGAGCTACACACATGAACCTTAATGTACAGATGAGCTACATACACGAATCTTAATGTACATATGAGCTACATACATGGATCGCAATGTACAGATGAGCTACACACGCGAACCTTAATGTACAGATGAGCTACATGCATGGATCGTAATGTACAGATGAGCTACACACATGGATCGCAATGTACAGATGAGCTACATACATGGATCGCAATCTACTAATGAGTAGGGCACCCCAGCTATTCTAACATGTGACACAACATGTAAACGAATGACGAACACGTTCGTCAACATAACTGCAACTGACCCTAATGTCAATATGAAACACTTGAATGTTCAAAACAATGGTCCAAAGTTCAGAAACGTTTTGGGTTAAAATAAAAATATCATCTGACCTCTTTCCATGAATACGCAATGGAAAGAAGTAATCACATATTACAAGTTTAGCTGTGACCCTTCTCGAAGACGTGTGACTGAGCAGGTGGTAGTGACGGCCACTGGTGCCGATGAACCCGGTTGTCTGGCGACCTGCAACACACCGTTACACCGTGGCGAAACGTGAACACATACGTTAGTGAGTGAGTCGGGTTTAACGCCGCTTTTAACAGTATTACAGTTATATCACGGCGTGTCAGCTTAATATGGGAGGAAAGCCCGAAGTGATGCAGGTCTCAGACGTTTACCACTTCGGTGAAACCCACGAGCACGGGTATGGTGCTGACAAACCTAGAAACATAATCGGGGCGAACTGGGATTCGAACCCATAATCATAGGTTTCTGGCGTGCCCAAGGGACGCAACTCTGCACAGCGAATCGCGGCGCCTTAGATGACTGGGCCACCTGAACACATATGTTATTTAGTGCATGTCTGTTATCAACAGCTGCATATTACCACACCTAGATATGTCTGAATTCAGTGCAGCTGCCTACGTTTATCGCGGTTTCCCACCTTCTCGTATATGCATTAGCGTTGACCAGTGTTGTCCTATATGAGTGAGTGAGTGAGTGAGTGAGTATGGTTTTACGCCGCTTTTAGCAATATTCCAGCAATATCACGGCGTGGGACACCAGAAATGGACTTCACACATTGTACCCATGTCGGGAATCGAACCCGGGTCTTCGACGTGACGAGCCAACGCTTTAACCACTAGGCTACCCGACCGCCCCGTCCTATATGACTGATAGTCTCCGACACCAGATTGGGAGAATGAGTGAGGTTGTTTTAGCGTCGGTTTGAATGAGTGAGTTGGGTCTAACGCCGCTTTTAACTGCATCCCAGCTGTATCACGTCGTGCCAGCTTGATGTAGGAGAAAACCAAAGTGATGCAGGTATTAGACGTTATATATTAATTACCACTTTGGTGAAACCCAAAAGCATGGGTACGGTGCTGACAAACCTAAAAAAACATAATCGGGGTGAACCAGTATTCGAACTAGCATAGCGAATCAGGGTGCCTTAGACGACTGGGCCACCCGTGCCACGATGTCGGTTTGAGGAGTATTTAAGTAAAATTGAAGCGTTCTCAAGTTTGCCCATTTGCCTTCTTACTGTGGAGACTTTACACAGCAACATTGACCCAGGCTGATATATCTCTACGACATCAGGGGGCACGGGTGGCCCGGTCGTCTAAGGCGCCGCGATTCGCTGTGCAGAGTTGCGTCCCTTGGGCACGCCAGAAACCTATGATTGTGGGTTCGAATCCCGGTTTGCCCCAATTATGTTTCTAGGTTTGTCAGCACCATACCCGTGCTCGTGGGTTTCACTGAAGTGGTAAACGTCTGAGACCTGCATCACTTCGGGCTTTCCTCCCATATTAAGCTGACACGCCGTGATATAACTGGAATATTGTTAAAAACGGCGTTAAACCCAACTCACTCACTCACTCACTCACTCTACGACATCATGTAATGTCCACAACGAAGTGTTTCCCTATTACGCAATTCCTGCTTTGTGGGGTTGAAAACGGATCAATCAACTCTTGTACGTTGACAGGGTGCGCTGACTTAACACTCCAAATATATATAACCATTTAGTGTTCCTGAAACATTGTCAAGTATTGTCGTACAATGACGGCTTCCCGCATGAGTAACTCGTTACTTAAACTTACAAACATATGACGAAATTTAATCACTCTTCCCTTGTAAGGTTGATAAAATGAGAAGCAAAAGAAACTATATATCTCTGCTGATTTTATCATATGTTTTCTATTGAAATATATATTTAAACAGCGACATAACATAAACAGTAATGA